AGTCGATACGAGGAGCACTGAACCCGAAGCCATGGAGGTGGGTCGTGCACGGTTGTCCTCAGAGGAGCGTGCACGTCGTATTCAGGCTCGGGTCTGCCTGTATTGTGGAGAAGCTGGTCATTTCGTTCCTTCCTGCCCAGTTCGTCCGGGAAAAGGGCCGGCTCATCATTAATGGGAGAAGTTTTGGTGAGCCGAGCAGCGGATTCTTCCTCTTCTCCCCGCATTCTGCTCCAGGCATCCCTCCAGTGGCAGTCCCAGAATTTCTCTGTTAGTGCGCTGATTGACTCTGGTGCCGACGAAAGCTTTTTGGATAGAGAGTGGGCTCAACAAATGGATTTGGAGACTGTTCCTATGGACTGTCCGCTGCAGGCTAAGGGTCTAAATGGACAATTGTTGACCCGTATTACCCATCAGACTGTTCCTGTTTGTCTTAGAGTGTCGGGAAATCATCAGGAGAACATTCAATTCCATATTATCGACTGCCCACAGACCCCCCTGGTCCTTGGTATCCCCTGGCTCATAAGACACAATCCACACATTGATTGGGTGACAGGTAGAATTGTTTCATGGAGCACATTTTGTCATGTGAATTGTTTGTGTTCTGCTCAGACTCCTGCCAGTACTGTGCCTCAACCTCCACTGGAGTCCATGGATCTTTCTGCTGTTCCTGACGTGTATCATGACCTGGCATCCGTTTTCTGCAAACACAGAGCTACTTCTCTTCCTCCTCACCGGCCTTACGACTGCGCCATTGACCTCCAGCCAGGAGCCCCGCTCCCCAGCAGTCGCCTGTACAATCTCTCCCGGCCGGAGACGGAGGCTATGGAGAACTACATTCGGGACTCCTTGGCGGCAGGTATTATGCGTCCTTCCTCGTCACCTGTAGGAGCGGGATTCTTTTTTGTTGCTAAGAAGGATAAGACCCTCAGACCCTGTATTGATTACCGTGGACTTAACAACATCACCATTAAGAACAAGTATTCTCTGCCTTTGATTAATTCTGCTTTTCCCCTCCTTCATGGTGCTACCATCTTTACGAAACTGGATCTACGAAATGCGTATCACCTGGTGCGCATTCGTAAAGGTGATGAATGGAAGACTGCCTTCAACACACCCTTGGGACATTTTGAGTATCTGGTTATGCCTTTTGGGTTGTCCAATGCCCCTGCTGTTTTTCAGGCACTAGTCAATGATGTCCTTCGGGACATGTTGAATCGGTTTGTTTTTGTCTATCTGGATGATATCTTGATTTTCTCAGAGTCCTCCCAGGAACATGAACTGCATGTGCGCCAGGTGTTGCAAAGGTTGTTGGAGAACAAACTGTTTGTGAAGATGGAGAAATGTGAATTTCATGTGTCTGAGACCTCTTTTTTGGGTTACATCATAGCTCAGGGGGAGTTGCGGATGGACCCAGCTAAGATCTCTGCTGTCACGGACTGGCCAGCCCCCTCTACCCGCAAACAACTTCAACGATTCCTGGGGTTTGCGAACTTCTATAGGAGGTTCATCAAGGACTACAGCCGCATTGCGGCGCCACTCACCGCTCTCACCTCCATCTCACGACCGTTCGCTTGGAATGAAGGGGCCGAATCAGCGTTCGAAGAACTGAAACATCGCTTCGCCTCGGCTCCCATTCTGATGCAGCCGGACCCCGACCGCCAGTTTGTCGTGGAGGTGGATGCATCCGACACTGGGGTAGGTGCGGTGTTGTCACAACGTTCTCCTGAAGATAACAAACTGCATCCCTGTGCTTTTCTCTCAAGGAAACTTTCTCAGGCAGAGAGGAATTATGATGTTGGCAATCGTGAACTGCTCGCCGTTAAGCTGGCTCTCGAGGAGTGGCGACATTGGTTGGAGGGGGCGGAACAACCCTTCATCGTTTGGACGGATCATAAGAATCTGGCTTACCTCCAGTCAGCGAAGCAGCTCAACCCCCGTCAAGCCAGGTGGGCACTATTTTTTGGGAGATTCAATTTTTCTCTGTCTTACCGTCCTGGGTCACGCAACGTCAAGCCTGACGCCCTGTCTCGTGTTCATTCGGCTGTTGATACTGGTAGTAACCCTGAACCCATTTTGCCTCCTACCTGCAGTATTGCGGTCATCACATGTGACATCGAGGGGATTGTTAGACAGGCTCAACATCATCAAGCTGACCCTGGGAGGGGTCCTCCTAACCGGATGTTTGTCCCTGAGTCTGCTCGCTCCCAGGTACTTCAGTGGGCTCACTCGTCTCCCCTTACCTGTCACCCTGGAGTTTCGCGGACCCTTGACTTTGTGCGACGGAAGTTCTGGTGGGCCACGATGGAGGCGGACACTCGAGCCTTCATTGCTGCTTGTACGGTATGTGCACGAAGTAAAAACTCCACCCAGGCCAGCGCTGGTCATCTACGACCTCTACCTATACCCAGCCGGCCCTGGTCGCATATCGCTATGGATTTTGTCACTGGACTTCCCCCCTCGTCTGGAAAGACTGTCATTCTTACGGTGATTGATCGTTTTTCTAAGTTCGCTCATTTTTTGGCCCTACCTAAACTGCCCACTGCCAGAGAGACGGCTGATATTTTGGTTGAACATGTGTTCCGCTCTCATGGTCTACCCACGGATATTGTCTCTGACAGGGGTCCCCAGTTTGTCTCCCAGGTGTGGAAAGCTTTCTGTAAAGCTTTGGGCATTACATCCAGCCTGTCCTCTGGATATCACCCCCAGACCAACGGGCAAGCCGAGAGAGCGAACCAGGAGATGGAGACCGCTCTTCGCTGTGTCACAGGGTCTAACCCTGGGTCATGGAGCTCCATGCTCCCCTGGGTGGAATATGCTCATAACACCTTGACTAACGCTTCCTCTGGTTTGTCTCCTTTTCTGTGTGCTCTGGGTTATCAACCTCCCCTGTTCCCTTCCCAAGAGAGGGAACTGGCGGTACCCTCGGTGCAGTCCCACATGCGCCGCTGCTTCAAGGTCTGGAGGAAGGCCAGGGTAGCTCTGTCCCGAGCTTCGGCGTACATGCAGAGGCAAGCCAACCGTCACCGGTCCCAGGCTCCCGGTTACTCTCCTGGTCAAGAGGTATGGCTGAAGTCACGGGACCTTCCATTGAAGGTGGAGTCTAAGAAGATGGCGCCTCGTTTTATAGGACCGTTCAAGATACTGTCTATTGTTAACCCCTGCGCGGTTAAGCTACAGCTTCCTGCCTCCCTACGGGTTCATTCCACCTTTCATGTTTCCCAGATTAAGCCTGTGTCGGTTAGCCCTCTGTGCCCGCCCTCTCGTCCCCCTCCTCCGCCCAGGATCGTGGGTGGGGGTCCGGTCTACACTGTCCGGCGACTTCTGGATGTTCGCCGCCGAGGTCGTGGTTTCCAGTACCTGGTGGATTGGGAGGGTTATGGTCCTGAGGAACGTTCCTGGGTGCCCAGGAGCTTCATTGTGGATCCTGCTCTGGTCCGAGAGTTTCATAGGTTACATCCCGATAAACCCCGTCGGCCGCCAGGTGGCGTCCGTAGAGGGGGGGGTACTGTTAGGCCTACTGCTGCTAGGTAGCTCTCTCTCTGCTCTCTCCCTCCCCTCTGTCTGTCCTTGATTGCAGGAGTGAAGTCTGGTGTGCGGGAGTCAGGGTTCCAGCTGCAGCTCATTCACCATAATCACCTCAGCCTTTAAGACCCGGTCAAACTTACCACTCATCGTCAGATCATAGTCAAGACGACCATGTTAGTCTCGCTGCCGACTCAACCTGTTTATTTTTGCTCTTTGTGTTTTTGGCCTGTTCTATTTACTTTTTCTCCTGTGCCACAGATATTTGGAACCTGACTCCTGCCTCCGCTTCACTCCTGCCACCACCATCCTGCTCTCCACTACCGGATCTCTCTTTTGGACTCACCACGGACACTAGGACATTACGGTACCACACCTGCCCTGACCTGGATCTGTTACCCTCCCTGTAACCTGGACTTGCTCTTCCCCTATATTTGGAAACCTGGACTATTGAACATTGTAAATAAACCTTCTCTGGCTTGGTGTACTTGTCTGCATTTGGGTTCTAATCCAGTTAAATCATAACACTGGTAGTCTTTGAGGTTCAATAAGGAATACGTCAAAGACGTTTCGGCCGCAAGCTGAACTGTAGAGAGTAAGTACACACACACACCTAAATGCAAACACACATGCTGGGACAGACAAGCAGACGCAAACACACACACACACACACACACACACACACACACACACACACACACACACACAAACCAGTGGTCACAGCAACCTCTCTCTCAAACCTTTCACTCCACTCCAAGACAAAAGCCCTGACCAGAATAACGAAACACTATGACATCTTTAGTAATCGTGAGGTGAACGATAAAACGTGTTGAATTAATATCTTAAAACTATACAGATTGTCCCATCAACCAACTAAGGTGCTGCCCTCATTTTAAACCTCCTCCTAAAAAGCCAGAGAACGAGGATCCACCAGGGATATAAAATGGAGAGCCTAAATTTATAATGTCAAGGGCAAAAGGAATCTTTTGGAACTCCTCTCGTCCTTAAACATGAGACAGATAGCACAGCTCAATCCTGCTGTAATTGATCAAAGGTGGATGAAAAGCATCCAGAATTGGTGTCGACTCAGTTTCAACTCAAGTCCAGTGACGAAATGTATCTAAATTCAATTGATTCGTAGAGAATTCAAGAACTGAATTGACAGGAATTGAAACCGAACCAACCCCAACTCTGACATAACATAAATAAACCTTAGAAAGTGTCAAACTGTCAAGTTTGTGTGATGAATTGGCACAGCATGGTCCCGAATGGCTGGATGTGATGATAACATATCATATGTCCATCCCTTGAACAGACTCAGGTCAGTGAGTGACCCTTGACCTTGGTACTGTGTGTGTGTGTGTGTGTGTGTGTGTGTGTGTGTGTGTGTGTGTGTGCCTGAGCAGCGGCCATCTTGAAAATTAACCCCCTGAGCAGCCATTTAGTCTAGTCTCCATCCTCCCACTTTGCCCACCTCACTTAGCCGTAGTGGACAGCATTGGCTGCTCCGTGTACCAGTGAGTCCCCGGGTCGGGCATACTGCCACCCAGAGGCAGCGCAATAAACTGTGGGCATGTATTTCCGCCCCCGCCGACTACGCCACACCCCACTCCAACTGGGTACGGCTGATGCCCATGGTGGCCGCTTATGCCACCGTCCGTCCGTCCGATGTGAATCTCGTCCTCTTCGCCCTCGCCAGTGGTCTTGCGGTAAACGGGGTTGTCGAAGTTCATACTCTTGGTGGAGTTTACGCGATAGTTCCGCCAAACCAGGTAGACGCCGGTGCAGAGCAGGCCGAAGACCACTGTGGCAACGATAGGAACTGCATGCGTTTAACACACAGTGGCAGGAGGAAGGGATGTGGGGACACGGGGAAGATGGGGGAGTGTTAATGTTGTCGGACCATGAGCATCGTGAAATGACAGGCACAGAGCTGAAGTATAGCAAATCAAGACATGCGGGTGGACAGAGCGGGAGGGGACGGAGTGAACTGGCCTTGTGTTGGGGATTTCTGTGCTAGGCTTGGTGGATCAATTGACATTAACATCATCGGAATAATCTCATAACAAGGTTTGTAGGCAGGTAGCCAAATGGTTGTCGCAGAACTTCTGGAGGCAACTAGGGTATGTGTACCCATGACCCCAAGCCAAGCCAGATGGGCCATTTCTGAGAGATCTTGGCAAAACTGAGCTTGAGGCAGTCTTCATGAAAAACTGTGGGTATTTGGACTTTTGGGCAGTGAAGTACGGTTTGAGGAACCACAACTGTCCAGCACGCTTCCAGCAAGCTCATAAAACTGAGGATTTACTTCTTTAAGTGTTGTATATTTTACTAGTACATTTAAGTATTGAGAGAGAAGTGTATCTGGAAGCTAACATTACTTCATTAGCTATTTCTATATAATATTTATACTGAGTTTTACTACAGTTCGCAGGTTAGATGAAATACACTTATATGAGAGCTGGATTCGAAAAGGAGTTGCAGATTATCTTTAGTCCAGAGTGATTTACGGACTTTCTCTCTATCCCTGAGTAAAACCTGCCATATCATCATAATACCATTACTTATGCTTGCGACTTTATTACAGTATAAGGGTATATCCTGTCCTGTCTGTGTCACTTTATGCAGATGAAAGGCATTGCCAGGTGAAGGGGGGCAGACCAAACATTGCTGGGTTATTTGGGCTGATTGGCTAATTCCTTGCTGACCTGTGTGCCCATCACCCTGGTCAATAGAAGGGCAGGAGAGACTGGCATTGCCCATATGCCTTCAATATACCCTCAGTGCCCTGCATGTAAAACCTCAGCTCCACATTAATTATGATAAAACACCCCAAAAAAGGAGAGTAGCATAGGGTTGCGTTCATTACGGCAAGCAATGTAAAACGTTTTGCAGCGTAAAATGAAAATGAGCGTTTCTTATTGGACAAATCCATGTACAGTCAGTTATATTCCATTTGTAATGGGTGTTTTCTGACTGCCTGCAATAATATATCCAAACAAACCCGCCTGCCACCATGAAAGTATGGTTGTTTTGGTTGGAACGTACCCAACACAGACAATAAATGAATGGATATGCAGTGGCAGAATGTAAAGTCAGAGACACACAATGGTTTCTAAGTGGTCATGTCTCTAGGCATGGCCCCTCTGGTCCAAACTGAACCAGGATCAGTGGATAGTGTAGACAATAGATTAAATATAGCAAGCTTGGGTTCAAATACTATTTGAAATAATTGTAACTACTTTGTAACTACTACTGTGCATGATTGAGCTTACCTGGCTTAATGGACCCCCCATACTATTTGAACCCAGGCCTAGTAGGGAGTAGACTAAATTTAGCCAGTCAGACAGGAGAAGCAGCTCCTGTGGGGTATAGAGAGAGGACATGTACTTACCTATAGGGATGACTACTCCCAGAACTGCCACTGTCAGGTTCTCACCCAGGATAAAATGCTCACTTCCAGCTACAGTGGAGGAGACATGGAGGCAAGAGAAAGAGAGAGGGACATAGGAGAGAGAGAGAGTGAGAAAGAGAGGGACATAGGAGAGAGGGAGAGAGAGAAAGACAGAGGAGTGTCAGAGAAGAAAATACAAGTGGGAGAGAGAGAGAGAGATGTTAGCCCTGCTATTAGCGTGTGTTTGCGTTTGGAACAGGGTTTCCGTTAGGAAAATGTGGCACCAGACAAGATTTTAATTTACCGGCCATTTGAGAAATCTACCGGACCCATATGCATTGGGTGCATAACCCATTAGGGTGTCCACCCACGATGCTCAGAAATCACATTTAGATTATGGTAATTCATCTTAACAGAACATGCAACTCCTGTAATGAAGCAGCAAATAAAGTCATTTGCCAAAATGCAATTCGCAGGAATAAACCATTCTGATGAGAGCAGTGCCATATGTGACAAAGATGATAATCTCTGTTAGAAACTTAGAAAGAGGGTCATCTAAAGATGCAACAACTAGGATGGGTTGCTAATATGACTAGAATTGTACCTTTGGCTTCTGGACAATGAAAGTAAGTTGATATGAAAACCAATAGAACAGGAGAGAAATGGTAACAGAGTAGTACATTTGTCAAAATTGTATAATTATTCATGTCTATACAGAAATGAAGAAATAATCAAAAATACTTCACTAGAAAGCATGACTTAGCCACAGAGGATTCAAGGATCGTTAGCTTCTTTGCTGTGGATTGTTTCAAAATCACAAGCTCGTAGGCCTATGCTTATTTGGGAAGCCCGCAAATTTGGGCAGCGCGCGTGGCAATAGGCCTAGCTGATTATTAAGTTGCGGCTGTCAGTGAAAAGTATCTAAAATATATGTGAAGATAATGTGTATTGAGTATAATTTAAAATGTTGAGACAAGAAGAAGGGGAGGGGTGTGTTGCGAAGATATAGGCGGGTCTCTCTCCAGAATGGCTCAGCTGTCTCCCGCCAATTCTTACACATTCATTGTTTAATTGTGTGAATTGTTTGCCCTTTGAATGTTTCGTTTTTTTAATCAATTCCCCATTACACCTGTCACCAGTAGTAAATGTACTGTTAACCCCCGTCATTTGGTTACATTCATTTCTGTTACTGCATGTATTAATTACAGTCAGAGTTCACAACCTGCTACACTTGCTACACTTGTGAGAAACAAGTTTTGGTTCATTTCATAACCATTATTTACCATGTGAGCAATGAGCATGTGTCTGGTTTCTCTGCCTGATAATGTTGAGGGAGCCTGAGCGGAATAGAGGTACCTGGCCTGCTGTGAGGAAATGTAGGAAAGTGCCCATTTGGGGATGTCGGATTTCTGAATCTCTTAATTCACCACGTCCCCCACTAATAAGCTGAGCTTCTAAGTCAACAAAGTCTGTTTTTATAACATCCATTGCGAATGATAATATATTAAAACTATAGTTCCCCACAGTAGACTATTGAAAAATCTTCCCAACAATCTCCCCCTCGATAGTCACCAATCCTCGGTGTGAAAGAGCAATGGAGGTTATAGGCCTACTGGTGCTTTGGCCTATAGGCTATGAGTTCCATGCGCTCATTTCTTTAGCAACCAATGTATCAATGAGGCTGGAGATCTCGCATTAGTTAAATATTTAGTTTTAGATTTGTATCATTTAAATTCAGATTTTTACAATTCACCACGAGACAATGATTTTGAGAATGAAAATATGCATATGAAAATCATAACTGGCATGCAGATCGGTAGAAATGGTAGGATAATTGTAAGCTTCCCGGAGCTTGAAACTCACGCGCCGCCAATTAAATCTTAATAAAATAATTGCCTCCATGTTTCCATGGTCGGATTTTGGCTATAGGCTACTTTGAAGCAAGACATAATATGAAATAAAACATTCAGGTTTCAAACAATTAAGCATGTTTTCAAAATGCATTCGGCCTCCAGCTCACATTGTAAAGTGGTGGGTGACTCGGCAGGAGACAAAGAGGTGGTGGACTAGGCTACGCTTTATCAGATGACACTCTCTGGCTGTGTCCAAAATGGCACCCTATATAGTGCGCCATGGGCGTAGTGTATATAGGAAATAGATGGTTTCTGAAATATGATCATGTAAAATTCAGGTGAACTGATCATTTTATCTCTGTAAACTGCTGAAAATCACTCTTCCACACTAATGGCTGTAGGTACTGTAATTACTTCAAATAATGTCCCCCTCTCCCTCACTGTCCTAACTAGTTCCAATTCTGACAGGAGGGCTAGAACATCAACAGGGCTAGAAAGAGCTGGTTTCAGAAATATTTTATGATCATGCCCACCAGGTAAAGCAATCTTTCTATCTTGCTCAAGAACTGTAGGTAATTACTACAAATTAATGTCAATTAAACATAGTATACACAGACACATATCTGGTACACACACAGACATATACAGACATGTTCCCAGAGGCGCAACTTTAGTTTTAGAAGTGGGGGGGGGGGGGGGGGGGGGGGGGGGGGGTCGGATAAACTCTCTAAACAGCCTACCCGACCACTCGGAGGCCGCATGGTCCTAAAGCACACCATTGCGCCGTTTTGCATGTCCCACAGACTTACAGTGGTGAGAGAGGTTGCTGTCCTCCTTGATGACATTCGTGTCCCCAGACCCTACTGTGGTGGAGGTAGTGAAGATTTTGGTGGCAGCAGTGGGATCCAAACGCCGGCCCTCTTTCTCCTTCACCTCTGCCCCAGGTTTGGCAGTGAGGGGAGGCTCTGGGGTGCTGGAGGGGGCGGGGGTGAGGTGGCGGACCCCGGCATCCGCCTGGGACATCCCAGAAGTGGAATGGGAGTCCTCTTTGTCCTCCTTGACACTTGCCGTGATGATGGCTACAGAGCCGGTGGGGAATGGCGACGGTTTGGTAATAGTCTCATTTGCTAAATGAACAGGGATATACAATTAGTTACAATACATCATTTTATGTATGCAATATCAACTATATGTATCTGTTTTAGAAGATTAGAACTGTAAGATTATCATAATATAGTTTTACTCAATCCAAACCTGAACTATGGAAAACTCCCAATGGTGCCTTTAGTACACTACATGACCAAAAGTATGTGGACACCTGCTCATCCAACATCTCATTCCAAAATCATGGGCATTAATATAGAGCTGGTCCCCCCTTTGCTGCTATAACAGCCTCCACTCTTCTGAGAAGGCTTTCCATTATATGTTGGAACATTGCTGCGGGGACTTGCTTCCATTCAGCCACAAGAGGTCGGGCACTGATGTTGGGAAATTAGGCTTGGCTCGCAGTCGGCGTTCCAATTCATACCAAAGGTGTTCGATGGAGTTGAAGTCAGGGCTCTGTGCAGGCCAGTCAAGTTCTTCCACACCGATCTCGACAAACCATTTCTGTATAGACCATGCTTTGTGCATGGGGCATTGTCATGCTGAAACAAGAAAGGACCTTCCCCAAACTGTTGCCACAAAGTTGGAAGCACAGAATTGTCTAGAATGTCATTGTATGCTGTAGCGTTAAAATTTCCCTTCACTGGAACTAAGGGGCCTAGGCCAAACCATGAAAAACAGCCCCAGACCATTATTCCTCCTCCACCAAACTTTACAGTTGGCACTATGCATTAGGGCAGGTAGCGATCTCCTGGCATCGCCAAACCCAAATTTGTCAGTCGGACCGCCAGATGGTGAAGCGTCATTCATCACTCCAGAGAACGCGATTCCACTACTACAGAGTCCAATGGTGGCAAGCTTTACACCACTCCAGCCTACGTTTGGCATTGCGCATGGTGATCTTAGGCTTGTGTGCGGCTGCTCGGCCATGGAAACCCATTTCATGAAGCTCCCGACAAACAGTTATTGTGCTGACGTTGCTTCCAGAGGCAGTTTGGAACTCGGTAGTGAGTGCTGCAACCGAGGACAGACGATTTTTATGCACTATGCGCTTCAGTACTCGCCGGTCCTGTTCTGTGAGCTTGTGTGGCCTACCACTTCGCGGCTGAGCCGTTGTTGTTCCTAGACGTTTTTACTTCAAATTACAGCACTTACAGTTGACTGGAGCAGATCGTGCAGGGCAGAAATTTTACGAACAAACTTATTGGAAAAGTGGCATCCTTTGAAAGTCAATGTTTGTCTATGGAGATTGCATGGCTGTTTACTCAATTTTATACACCTGTCAGCAACGGGTGTAGCTGAAATAGCCAAATCCACTAACTTGAAGGGGTGTCCACATACTTTTGTATATATAGTGTATTCGAATTTGAAGCGCGCCATATTGCTGTATGGGGCTGAATGGATCACAGAGAAAATGGCCGTAACTAGCAAAGGATCATGGTCGATGTAGTTGTTTTCATCCCGCCTGAGAGACACTTGCAAAGAGCATGCATGAGGGAGCGAGCCTCCTCGTAGTCTGCCGGCCTGTGATTGGTCTGTGATTGGTCCCCTAGTTCTCCCTCCACTAACAGCCCACCGACACACACTCTCACCTGGCACACAGCCCCGCATGTCTGGCCCCAGGTCCTGTCCTGTTGGGCAGGCGCAGGTGTACTTGGGGGAGTGCTCTGTGATCTGGGGGGCTTTGAGACACAGGTACTCACAGCCACCGTTGGCCTCACTGCCCAAGTTACAGCTGTCTGGGCCTAAGAGAGGGAAATAGAGAAACACACAGTCAAGAGACAGAAATACAAAAGGCTGCGTTTACACAGGCACTCAAATCTGATATTTTGCCCAATTATTGGCAAAAGAGCTGATCTGATTGGTCCAAAAAGATCAGCATTGGGCTGCCTGTGTAAACGCAGCCAAAGAGACACACAGTCAGAGACTCAAACCCATTGGGGAAAGGAGAGTCGCGCTAGCTAACTTTGACACCATGTTAGATTGGTTGTTAGCCTACGTGCCAGGGGAAATCTGAGTAATTCCTTGCTAGTCGGCCTATGCATTACTTGCTCTTTGGGGTTTTAAGCTGGCTGCTGATGTAAAAAGGGATTTATAAAATACATTTGATTGTGGTGCACATTGTTGCGAACTGTTCACCTATTCATATAATAAAAACATGAAACTACAGTTGAAGTCGGAAGTTTACATACACCTTATCCAAATACATTTAAACTCAGTTTTTCACAATTCCTGACATTTAATCCTAGTAAACGTTCCCTGTCTTAGGTCAGTTAGGATCACCACTTTATTTTAAGAATGTGAAATGTCAGAATAATAGTAGAGAGAATTTATTTCTTTCAGCTTTTATTTCTTTCATCACATTCCCAGTGGGTAAGAAGTTTACATACACTCAATTAGTATTTGGTAGCATTGCCTTTAAATTGTTTAACTTGGGTCAAACATTTCGGGTAGCCTTCCACAAGCTTCCCACAATAAGTTGGATTAATTTTGGCCCATTCCTCCTGACAGAGCTGGTGTAACTGAGTCAGGTTTGTAGGCCTCCTTGCTCGCACACGCCTTTTCAGGTCTCCCCACACATTTTCTATAGGAATGAGGTCAGGGCTTTGTGATGGCCACTCCAATACCTTGACTTTGTTGTCCTTAAGCCATTTTGCCACAACTTTGGAAGTATGATTGGGGTCATTGTCCATTTGGAAGACCCATTTGCGACCAAGCTTTAACTTCCTGACTGATGTCTTGAGATGTTGCTCATTATATCCACATCATTTTCCTTCCTCATGATGCCATCTATTTTGCGAAGTGCACCAGTCCCTCCTGCAGCAAAGCACCCCCACAGCATGATGCTGCCACCCCCGTGCTTCACGGTTGGGATGGTGTTCTTCGGCATGCAAGCAACCCCTTTTTCCTCCAAACAATAACGATGGTCATTATGGCCAAACAGTTCTATTTTTGTTTCATCAGACCAGAGGACATTTCCAAAAAGTAAGATCTTTGTCCCCACGTGCAGTTACAAACCGTAGTCTGGCTTTTTAATGGCGGTTTTGGAGCAGTGGCTTCTTCCTTGCTGAGCGGCCTTTCAGGTTATGTCGATATATGACTCGTTTTACTGTGGATATAGATAATTTTGTACCTGTTTCCTCCAGCATCTTCACAAGGTCATTTGCTGTTGTTCTGGGATTGATTTGCACTTTTCGCACCAAAGTGCGTTCATCTCTAGGAGACAGAACGCTTCTCCTTCCTGAGCGGTATGACGACTGTGTGGTCCCATGGTGTTTATACTTGCGTACTATTGTTTGTACAGATGAACGTGGTACCTTCAGGCATTTGGAAATTGCTCCCAAGGATGAACCAGACTTGTGGTGGTCTACAATTTCTTTTCTGAGGACTTGGCTGATTTCTTTTGATTTTCCCATGATGTCAAGCAAAGAGGCACTGAGTTTGAAGGTAAGCCTTGAAATACATCCACAGGTACACCTCCAATTGACTATCAGAAGCTTCTAAAGCCATGACATCATTTTCTGGAATTTTCCAAGCAAATTAAATGCACAGTCAACTTAGTGTATGTAAACTTCTGACCCACTGGAATTGTGATACAGTGAATTACAAGTGAAATAATCTGTCTGTAAACGATTGTTGGAAAAATGACTTGTGTCATGCACAAAGTAGATGTCCTAACTGACTTGCCAAAACTATAGTTTGTTAACAAGAAATGTATGGAGTGGTTGAAAAACAAGTTTTAATGACTCCAACCTAAGTGTATGTAAACTTCCTACTTCAACTGTACATAGTTGTTTCTGGTGTAACTGCACCGTTAGATACACACACACAGAGACACATGGCACTTTGATCTTTGTAACTACCAACTTCTAAACTTAATAATGTGATGGGTCTGTTACATGAGACCAGGGATCAATCTGTGAAGACCAGGTGGAACTAGCGTAGTTTGTGTGTTACATTACATATTAGTCATTTAGCAGACGCTCTTATCCAGAGCGACTTACAGGAGCAATTAGGGTTAAGTGTCTTGCTCAAGGGCACATCGGCAGAGTCGGCTCAGGGATTCGAACCAGCAACCTTTCGGTTACTGGCCCAACCGCTAGGCTACCTGCTGGTGTTGTGTGTGTGTGTGTCTCAGAGGAAGAATGACTCACACCTTGGGAACTCAGGTAAGGACATGTGTACAGTCATAGGGATATGTGTACAGGAAGCATTGCATAACACACACACTAGGGACACAGATAAACAACCAGAGACGATGACATCTCTCTCTCTCTCTCTCTCTCTCTCTCTCTCTCACCCAGTAGATAAGGGAGTTTATCAAAATTGGGTTTGTTTTCAAATTATTTGTGGATCTCTGTAATCTGAGGGAAATATGTGTCTCTAATATGGTCATACATTTGGCAGGAGGTTCGGAAGTGCAGCTCAGTTTCCACCTCATTTTGTGGGCAGTGTGCACATAGCATGTCTTCTCTTGAGAGCCAGGTCTGCCTACGGCGGCCTTTCTCAATAGCAAGGCTATGCTCACTGAGTATGTACATAGTCAAAGCTTTCCTTAAGTTTGGGTCAGTCACAGTGGTCAGGTATTATGTCACTGTGTACTCTCTGTTTAGGGCCAAATAGCATTCTAGTTTGCTCTGTTTTTTTGTTAATTCTTTCCAATGTGTCAAGTAATTCTCTTTTTGTTTTCTCATGATTCAATTGGGTCTAATTGTGTTGTTGTCCTGAGGCTCTGTGGGGTTTGTTTGTGTTTGTGAACAGAGCCCCAGGACCAGCTTACTTAGGGGACTCTTCTCCAAGTTAATCTCTCTGTAGGTGATGGCTTTGTTACGGAAGGTTTGGGAATCGCGTCCTTTTAAGTGGTTATAGAATTTAACGGCTCTTTTCTGGATTTTGATAATTAGCGGGTATCGGCCTAATTCTCTCTCTCTCTCTCTCTCTCTCTCTCTCTCTCTCTCGCTCTCTCTCACACACACACACACACGTAAGTGAACAAACAAGTATTACAACACACACACTAGGGACACCGACAGAGAAAACAAGTTATTTTTAGTTCTCTTACTTGCTCTCTCAAACACACACAGATATGCAGACATACAGACCCCCCCAACCCTCACCCCCACACCTTGGGGCTGTCGCAGTGGGTGGAAGACCACTATGTCGTGGGGGTCGTTGAGGTGCTCGGCCAGTGTGCTGACGTCCTGGCCGGTTAGCCTGTTAGCGCTGTACACCGCCTCCCTTTCCCTGTCTGTCCAGTAGATACGGTCCTGACAGGGGGAAGAGCGATGGAGAGAGTAAAGGTTGTATAAATTCATTTGATTGTTAGACAGAACGACAGACAGACAATGAATTCTCAAGCGATATTATGCAGCAATCCTTGCAAAGATCTCATCATTGCTACTGTAAGGGTGAGCATCCCAATCCACTGCTCCTCCATTGGGAGGTAAACAAACTCTGACTGCAACCAGACTTCACCTTGTGGTTGTTTAGTTTATTATATCCTGTCTGTTTACCGGAACATAACCCTAACGTTATCAGCCTTCAAAAAATGTTGTGCGGAGGAGAGCTGGCATCGTTCCACGGTTGCTGTGGAAACCATGGGTTTAATCCCCATTAGAGTGCGGCGGCGAGACGGCACATCCTGTGATACAGAAGTGTGTGTGTGTGTGTACAGGGGGGATGTGTGTGAGAGTGTGTGTGCATGTGCGTGTGTGTGTGTTACAATCCACTCAATAAAACTAAAGTGGAGCATGTTTTACAAAAAGCTAACATTGTCAAACAAGGTCAGTTAGAGTAGAAATACATGTCCCCTTCTCACAAAATGGACAATAAATCATGTATTTTTAAACTACCTCCTGCAGTAGATTTTTCTTATCGGTCTTACATTTGTACCAGCTTTCAATGAGAACATATTTTTCCTTTTACCTACTTACTGTACCAATGCATTAGAGGATTTGCACATATTAACCTTTAAAAGTAGAGCTCTACTGTAGATGCAATTGTACTGTAAAAAGCGTTCCAATCCACCAACAGTGTTAGGAGCGGAGAGTTAGGAGTCTCTTCAGGAATTTGCACAGTGGAATAAGGCAGCGGGGTATATGTCCTTACCACAGTGGAATAAGGCAGCAGGGTAAATGTCATTCCCACAGTGGAATAAGGCAGCAGGGTAAATGTCATTACCACAGTGGAATAAGGCAGCAGGGTAAATGTCCTTACCACAGTGGAATAAGGCAGCAGGGTAAATGTCATTCCCCACAGTGGAATAAGGCAGCGGGGTATATGTCCTTACCACAGTGGAATAAGGCAGCAGGGTAAATGTCATTCCCACAGTGGAATAAGGCAGCAGGGTAAATGTCATTACCACAGTGGAATAAGGCAGCGGGGTAAATGTCATTACCACAGTGGAATAAGGCAGCAGGGTAAATGTCATTACCACAGTGGAATAAGGCAGCAGGGTAAATGTCATTACCACAGTGGAATAAGGCAGCGGGGTAAATGTCATTACCACAGTGGAATAAGGCAGCAGGGTAAATGTCATTACCACAGTGGAATAAGGCAGCGGGGTATATGTCCTTACCACAGTGGAATAAGGCAGCGGGGTAAATGTCATTACCACAGTGGAATAAGGCAGCAGGGTAAATGTCATTACCACAGTGGAATAAGGCAGCGGGGTAAATGTCATTACCACAGTGGAATAAGGCAGCGGGGTAAATGTCATTACCACAGTGGAATAAGGCAGCGGGGTAAATGTCATTACCACAGTGGAATAAGGCAACGGGGTAAATGTCATTACCACAGTGGAATAAGGCAGCGGGGTATATGTCATTACCACAGTGGAATAAGGCAGCGGGGTATATGTCATTACCACATTGGCTAAACAGGCTGTGACAGTCCCACTGAGAGATGAAACTGACACACACTTGGGAGTAGGGCTGTAACGGTCATTATGTTACCGCCACATCGGTGGTCACGAGTCATGACTGCAGTCAAATTCCACGTGACTGTTGAGTCACGGTAACTACTCAAACACTGCGCTCTGTAAATGAATGGCACTGTTGGCCGTTAATAGCCTGATTTGCTAACGGCCCTCGAGTCGCAAATGGCCTGATACTCTGCACTCTTTTTTTACCCTCTAATCACTCTGACATCAATGCAAATGGCTTCGAAAATCTAATCAAACACGATTGAATTTGTGTAATCTGAATGATGGGGATAAATGAAGGGAGTTAGAGGTCAACTCAAAGCCAAACACAATGGCAGCCATTTGGATGAATTTGGGATGCGAGGATAATAATTAGCTGGTTGATCAGTTGAATCAGGTTGGTAACATCTGAGGTTGGAGCGAAAACCTTCAGGAGCGTAGCTCTCCAGGAACAGGGTATCACCCCTGTCGCGCAGCCAGAGCCAGTTCCTCAAATAGCTGGTCAATGCGTAGAATGAAATATGTTTCCTTATAAGCCCAGACATTTCTATATCCAATCGTGTGCGAAAAAAATAGTTGTGATTGCCTCTATTCAAAAGAGGAGGATCCCAGCTATATTGCTAGGCTACTATATTTATTTATTTCTCATTTTGTCATATTAGCACATTGCTGTACCTCCATTTGCTATTCAAGGGCATATGGATTACATGTCCCGTTTGATAATGGCCCATTGTAAATCTAAACAAATTTCACACATATTATTTTGTATACACTACCGGTCAAAGGTTTTAGAACGCCTACCCATTCAAGGGTTTTTCTTTATTTTTACTATTTTCTACATTATAGAATAATAGTGAAGACATCAAAACTATGCAATAACACATATGGAATCATGTAGTAACCAAAAAAGGGTTAAACAAATCAAAATATATTTTATATTTGAGATTCTTCAAATAGCCACCCTTTGTCTTGATGACAGCTTGTGCAAGTTCTCCCACTTCATTATTATTATACAATGTAGAAAATTGTAAAAATAAAGAAAAACCCTTGAATGAGTAGGTGTTCTTTTGACTGGTAGTGTATGTAAAGACAAGATTCAATTGAGAATAGTCTGATACAGTGAGGGAAAAATGTATTTGATCCCCTGCTGATTTTGTACGTTTGCCCACTGACAAAGAAATGATCAGTCTATCATTTTAATGGTATGTTTATTTGAACAGTGAGAGACAGAATAACAACAAAAAAATCAAGAAAAACGCATGTCAAAAATGTTATACAGTGGGGGAAAAAAGTATTTAGTCAGCCACCAATTGTGCAAGGTCTCCCACTTAAAAAGATGAGAGAGGCCTGTAATTTTCATCATAGGTACACGTCAACTATGACAGACAAAATGAGAAAAAAAAAATCCAGAAAATCACATTGTAGGATTTTTTATGAATTCATTTGCAAATTATGGTGGAAAATAAGTATTTGGTCAATAACAAACGTTTCTCAATACTTTGTTATATACCCTTTGTTGGCAATGACACAGGTCAAATGTTTTCTGTAAGTCTTCACAAGGTTTTCACACACTGTTGCTGGTATTTTGGCCCATTCCTCCATGCAGATCTCCTCTAGAGCAGTGATGTTTTGGGGCTGTCGCTGGGCAACACGGACTTTCAACTCCCTCCAAAGATTTTCTATGGGGTTGAGATCTGGAGACTGGCTAGGCCACTCCAGGACCTTGAAATGCTTCTTACGAAGCCACTCCTTCGTTGCCCGGGCGGTGTGTTTGGGATCATTGTCATGCTGAAAGACCCAGCCACGTTTCATCTTCAATGCCCTTGCTGATGGAAGGAGGTTTTCACTCAAAATCTCACGATACATGGCCCCATTCATTCTTTCCTTTACACGGATCAGTCTTCCTGGTCCCTTTGCAGAAAAACAGCCCCAAAGCATGATGTTTCCACTCCCATGCTTCACAGTAGGTATGGTGTTCTTTGGATGCAACTCAGCATTCTTTGTCCTCCAAACACAACGAGTTGAGTTTTTACCAAAAAGTTATATTTTGGTTTCATCTGACCATATGACATTCTCCCAATCGTCTTCTGGATCATCCAAATGCACTCTAGCAAACTTCAGACGGGCCTGGACATGTACTGGCTTAAGCAGGGGGACACGTCTGGCACTGCAGGATTTTAGTCCCTGGCGGCGTAGTGTGTTACTGATGGTAGGCTTTGTTACTTTGGTCCCAGCTCTCTGCAGGTTATTCACTAGGTCCCCCCGTGTGGTTCTGGGATTTTTGCTCACCGTTCTTGTGATCCTTTTGACCCCACGGGGTGAGATCTTGCGTGGAGCCCCAGATCGAGGGAGATTATCAGTGGTCTTGTATGTCTTCCATTTCCTAATAATTGCTCCCACAGTTGATTTCTTCAAACCAAGCTGCTTACCTATTGCAGATTCAGTCTTCCCAGCCTGGTGCAGGTCTACAATTTTGTTTCTGGTGTCCTTTGACAGCTCTTTGGTCTTGGCCATAGTGGAGTTTGGAGTGTGACTGTTTGAGGTTGTGGACAGGTTTCTTTTATACTGATAACAAGTTCAAACAGGTGCCATTAATACAGGAAACGAGTGGAGGACAGAGGAGCCTCTTAAAGAAGAAGTTACTGGTCTGTGAGAGCCAGAAATCTTGCTTGTTTGTAGGTGACCAAATACTTATTTTCCACCATAATTTGCAAATAAATTCATTAAAAATCCTACAATATGATTTTCTGGATTTTTTTTCTCAATTTGTCTGTCATAGTTGACGTGTACCTATGATGAAAATTACAGGCCTCTCTCATCTTTTTAAGTGGGAGAACTTGCACAATTGGTGGCTGACTAAATACTTTTTTCCCCCACTGTACAGTGGGGAGAACAAGTATTTGATACACTGCCGATTTTGCAGGTTTTCCTACTTACAAAGCATGTAGAGGTCTTGTATGATTTTTAAGTAATTAATTTGCATTTTATTGCATGACATAAGTATTTAATCACCTACCAACCAGTAAGAATTCCGGCTCTCACAGACCTGTTAGTTTTTCTTTAAGAAGCCCTCCTGTTCTCCACTCATTACCTGTATTAACTGCACCTGTTTGAACTCATTACCTGTATAAAAGACACCTGTCCACACACTCAATCAAACAGACTCCAACCTCTCCACAATGGCCAAGACCAGAGAGCTGTGTAAGGACATCAGGGATAAAATTGTAGACCTGCACAAGGCTGGGATGGGCTACAGGACAATAGGCAAGCAGCTTGGTGAGAAGGCAACAACTGTTGGCGCAATTATTAGAAAATGGAAGAAGTTCAAGATGACAGTCAATCACCCTCGGTCTGGGGCTCCATGCAAGATCTCACCTCGTGGGGCATCAATGATCATGAGGAAGGTGAGGGATAAGCCCAGAACTACACGGCAGGACCTGGTCAATGACCTGAAGAGAGCTGGGACCACAGTCTCAAAGAAAACCATTAGTAACACACTACGCCGTCATGGATTAAAATCCTGCAGCGCACGCAAGGTCCCCCTGCTCAAGCCAGCGCATGTCCAGGTCCGTCTGAAGTTTGCCAATGACCATCTGGATGATCCAGAGGAGGAATGGGAGAAGGTAATGTGGTCTGATGAGACAAAAATAGAGCTTTTTGGTCTAAACTCCACTCGCCGTGTTTGGAGGAAGAAGAAGGATGAGTACAACCCCAAGAACACCATCCCAACTGTGAAGCATGGAGGTGGAAAAATCATTCTTTGGGGATGCTTTTCTGCAAAGGGGACAGGACGACTGCACCGTATTGAGGGGAGGATGGAAGGGGCCAACAACCTCCTTCCCTCAGTAAGAGCATTGAAGATGGGTCGTGGCTGGGTCTTCCAGCATGACAACGACCCGAAACACACAGCCAGGGCAACTAAGGAGTGGCTCTGTAAGAAGCATCTCAAGGTCCTGGAGTGGCCTAGCCAGTATCCAGATCTGAACCCAATAGAAAATCTTTGGAGGGAGCTGAAAGTCCGTATTGCCCAGCGACAGCCCCGAAACCTGAATGATCTGGAGAAGGTCTGTATGGAGGAGTGGGCCAAAATCCCTGCTGCAGTGTGTGCAAACCTGGTCAAGACCTACAGGAAACGTATGATCTCTGTAATTGCAAACAAAGGTTTCTGTACCAAATATTAAGTTCTGTTTTCTGATGTATCAAATACTTATGTCATGCAATTAAATGCAAATTAATTACTTAAAAATCATACAATGTGATTTTCTGGATTTTTGTATTAGATTCTGTCTCTCACAGTTGAAGTGTACCTATGATAAAAATTACAGACCTCTACATGCTTTGTAAGTAGGAAAACCTGCAAAATCGTCAGTGTATCAAATACTTGTTCTCCCCACTGTATATATGTTTTGATTTAAAATACATTCTAAGGTATGTATCAACTAAAGTAGCCAAATAACTCTATATTAAGCATATAGGATCTGTTTCAAATGATCACTTTTTATAACCACTCAACACAGAACTGCTGCACAATGTGCGCTCAGAAATCCTTTGGGGAAAAATATCCTTTCTATTTTATTCAGCTATATTCAATTGTATTCTTCTTACTATAAAATAATGGCATGGGAGTTATAAGCCAATCTTGTCTGCTAAATGAACTAGCCTACAGCCTAGTCTATGCCAGTGGCATGGCATATAGCCAGATCAGTAACACCGAGTCCAGAATATGCTATTCTGCTCTTCTGAAATATATTTTCTTCATATCATAATGTTTCTTAAGATCTGCCTAAAATAAATAATGGATTTATTGTGATGGCTTTATTATTGTGATGGTGTTTATTAAAATGATTTATTACACTTATTTAAATGGTTCCTCAACTGGCGGCCCGCAGGATTTTATTTAATAATGTTCTTTATTTTTAATTGTGGGACATAAAAGACTATAAAAAACCCAGCATATCAGCTCCAAGTGATTCTAATTTTGGAAATCTGTTCCGAAGTATTCCCACACATAATAGAGAGATATACTGAACAAAAATATAAACGTGGCATGCAACAATTTCAACGATTTTACTGAGTTACAGTTCTTTTTTTTTTAAACGGCATTGGAAATCATACCGTCGGTATTTCGAAATACCCCGGTATACGGTATGAACGGTGTATCGCCCAAGCCTAGCGTCCACCACAGAATGAAAGAAATTACAGTTCATATAAGGAAATCAATCAATTGAAATAAATTCATTAGACCCTAATCTCTGGATTTCACATGACTGGGCAGGGGTGCAGTCATGGGGGAGCTAGGTCCAGCCAATCAGAATGAGTTTTCCCCCACAAAAGGGCTTTATTACGGACAGAAATACTCCTTAGTTTCATCAGCTGTCCGGGTGGCTGGTCTCAGACGATCCCGCAGGTGAAGAAGCTGGATGTGAAGGTCCTGGGCTGGTGTGGTTACACGTGGTCTGCACATTTTAGAGTGGCCTTTTATTGCCTCCAGCACAAGGTGCACCTGTGTAATGATCATGCTGTTTAATCAGCTTCTTGATATGCCACACCTGTCATGTGGATGGATTATCTTGGCAAAGGAGAAATGCTCACTAACAAGGATGTAAACAAACCTGTGCACAAAATTTGAGAGAAATAAGCTTTTTGTGAATATGGAACATTTCTGGAATTTTTTATATCAGCTCATGAAACATGGGACCAACACTTTACATGTTGAGTTTATATTTTTGTTCAGTATATATGTGATCGTATACAAATGTAAGCAAGGTATGAAATTATTATGTTTTAGTCAAATATTATATCTGTATGGGCTTCTTACGGTCAATTTGCAGTCTGACCATCCGCTAAGGAAAAAAATCGTCTCGCGGCTGAATTTAGTTGATGATCCCAGATGTAGACATTCCAAAGTTTCATGACCGCCACAGCCCTACTTGGGAGCAAGCAAATGTACCACACACGTATGCATAAGCACACACACATCACACAGACAGACACTTCCCTCTGGCCCACCCGTTACCCAGCTGCCAGCCTGTCTGTGTGCGATACGACTAGGGCCAGCAGTAAAACTTTAATCTGGGTGGATGCCAGTGTGTCATAGCTGTGCCTGCAGTGTGTGTGTGTGTGTGTGTGTGTGTGTGTGTGTGTGTGTGTGTGTGTGCATGCGAGCATCTGTGTGTACGTGTAATGATCTGTATGTGTGTGTACATCAATATGTTTGTGTGTGCCAGTGTTGTGGCCCTGCCTGCAGTGTGTGTGAGTGTGTGTGTGTGCCCACGCACTTGCATCTGTGTGCCAATGTTGTGGCCCTGCCTGCACTGTGTGTATCACTAACAACAACAGAGCTCTGGGCAGCTCTCAGATCCCTCTCCTCTCCAGTAACTCCTCTGTTTATTCCGCACAGTCTGCCATCCCAGAGGGGAAGACAAAACAAACACAGCAGTGGGGAGACTAAACACAGAAATTAAGCGCTGCGTGACACAGCAGTACCCAGCTTATGATAGCACCGTCATTCAGTGACTTCAATGTCTTTCCTTCTGGGGACCCTAGTCTCCAGAGGTCAATAAGGACAGTCAAGCAGGGAACAAACTACACAGTAAAAAAAAATCAAACATGTTTTGATATTTGTTTAGGAGGAGATAGCAGTCCAGGGTAATGATAGCTCCGTCTGTGTAATGCCATTAATTACTTAATGGCTGTCTTAACTTCTGGAGTTTCTGTCTCAGGAAGGTAATGTGGACAGTCAAGTTGGAAACCAATTATATTTGAAAGACATAAAAAAAATGTTGTCTAGATATTGAATTAGGAGGACATGGTCCCTACAGTATATTAGCAGGTTTGTGCTTCATGTCAAAATCATCCTTAAGTATCTCATGTTGATTGTGTAGCTCAATTAAGTTACTTATGGATGATTTGGACATGATGCGTGAAAATGCTAATATAGGACCATATAGGACCATTGACTTTGTGCAACAAATGCAAAGAAGTTAGCATTTGAAACAGTGGCCCAGATAAACAAAACCAAAGCATTGGATTGTTGTCATGCATTGTCCATAGATTGCTTCAAAGTCCAATGCAGATGTTTTTATCTCAATATCAAACCCTTTCTGGGTAAGAATTAAGTGCCTTATTGTGATTATTTTCAATTAAAATGGTAAAAAATAAACAAAAATAGCTTCTTAGCAAAGCTCAATTTCTCAAGAAATAATTTAGCTAGGACTATATGGGAGTGGTCTGAGTGGGGAGGGGAAAACTAGCTGTTATTGACAGAGAGTTTTGGAACTTTCTTTCTTATTGGTTTATTAACAAATTCACCACGCAGGCCAAAGCTCCATCCCACCAAAACAGGCTGAAATTTCAGGCGGTCTTTTCAAACAGCTTTTACACTAAAAGGGCATTATCAAAATGTTTACAATTTCACCGTTTTATTCCAACCTCATAGTATAGAAATGTATATAACTGGTAACTTTACCAAAATTCTCAGGTTTTCCAGAAATCCTGGTTGTAGGATTCTGGATTTCCTGCTCTTTCCTTCCTGATTCCAGTAATCTTTTAACCGGGAAACCTGGGAATTTTGGGAAAGTTACCGTAATACGCAACCCTAACTGAAAGCATAGAATTTAATAGAGACTTGCCAGGCCTTCATTTCCCATCTTAACCCATATAGACTTTTGAATTAATTAATTTTTCCAGAATAAAGTTCTCTCTCTCTGCCCCTCCCCCTCTCTCTTTCTCTGCCCCTCCCCCTCTCTCTTCTCCTTTCCTCCCTCCCTCTCTGTCTCTCTGACTTCTCATCAGCCTTTATTCAGCTCATTAAAAGCGTGTCCACAGACACCTAATGCTTCCCTCTACTCGCTCAACCCTTCACTCGCAAGACGTTCCCCATAGAGCAGAGCAGCCCAGCAAAACACACACACACATGCTGTAAACACACACTCTCTCTCACCTCAAACACGGCCAGTGCGTAGGGGTGTCCCAGTCTTTCTGAGGAGGACTGGTGTGTCCGACGGTGAGCCCCGTTCAGGTCCACGCTGGAGACGAGGTGCAGCTTGGAGTCTACCCAGTACAGACGCCTGTTGGCTACATCTGATGCACACACACAGGTATTAGATGGCCACTTGGGCAGACATACAGCGACGCAAACACTGCTCACTCAAATATTTTGTCAAACGATCAATTGGGGTTATATCAAGAAGTTTCAACTCCAAGGAGATGAGTTATCAACTGTAAAAGTCTAAGTTCACAATGTAATAAAACTAGTGAAAACCAAACCAAAACAAAGCAAGAAACTAAGGAGAAGTACTTTACAAATGGAATGTATTATCATTAGAACAGCTAAAGCAGTTATTCTGACTGCTCATACATTTTTTAAGTCATGCTCCACTCCGTCCTTGACCTTTTCTAAATAAGTCTATATAACACATTGCCATTGTTAGTTCTTAATATCACAAACAGAACTGGAGTTATAACCTGTTTTAGGAGGGCATGTCATTATTTGAATGGTTTTCACCCGTTGACCCTCCTTTTCCCGACAGTAGGGCCTGCTCCGCTCCTTCTCCCCAGCTGATAATCACCCTGATAATTGCCTCGATACTAAACCTAAACTATACCGGAACTAATTTTAACCCATATAACAACAGATTAAATAAATTAAGTAAAGTATGATGGGCGAAAGGGGGAGAATGGGTGAGTTGATGAGCGAGGGGAACGAACAATGCATAATTATGTAATCACCAATTGTGAATGAAGAACAGAGGGCCATTCTATTGTATTGATCGATTCTAATCATAACCTCCAAATGGTATGTACCCTATATCAGTCCACCAAATCCAAGCAGTCTTATCAATCTACTCTGGCCTACTTGGAGTAGGCTACACAGTGAGAGCATGCGTAATTGTACATGCTGAACGGCTTTCAATATCTGGGAAAATATCCACATCGGGCAGAAGGTGAGCAAGTGTCGGAGAATGTGGTGATGAGGCTTGTAGAACCTTCCGTTGGCAAGGGGAGAAATGTCACCATGGACAATTTCATCACTTCACAGTCATTGGCGAACAAGTACTGCAAAGAAAACAAGCCTAGTCGACACCATGAACAAAGTGAGATGGGAGCTTCCTCCGTCTGCGCAAAATAAGGCACCTACACAGCCGTCGTACTACACAACCATGGGGACACAATAAAGATACAACTATTACGCACTACAACCAAACAAAGGTATGTCAAAGTGTCAAGCAAGTGAAAGTTACGAAGATTTGTGTCAACTGTTAGGACAAGGGATAACCGCTAAATGAAATCCAACTGATGCCAAGACACACACAATTTAAGCAGGAGCTGTCAATAATGGACTATTTTTGACTACTGTCATATCGACACATTCATTATAATGCTATTATTGCTTTTGTGCTGATTTTCACTATTTATCAAGGCCACTTGGCATAATGATGTTCAGGCTACTGATGTTTTCATCATTTGACCGCACGTCTTGGTGGTTGTCGTTATAAAAAGAAGCTGTTACCGTGTACCAACACATATGCTTTCTGTTTCATAAAGGCGCTCCATTAATAAAATTGATTGAACACAATTTTTATGTTTTACATATAGCCTATATAACATAATGAAAATGCTACTGTGTTATAAAATAATAATAATAGTATTCTAATGTTACTCAAGGCCTCCATAAACACAGCCAAATGATTATTTTAGCGATAGCATATATGAAATGTATTAATTACACTGTTAGAATGTTGCAGTCAGAATGACTGCTCTTTAGCTTGAAAGGGAGTCCCTCAAGGCCCAGCGGTTCTAGTGTTAAAAGGTTTCTAAGGTGCACAGGTATAGAGGAAAAAATATTTTTAAGCTTGCTTGAACAATACATATTTTATTGTTAAAACCAAAGCATTTCAGCAAATGCTTTCATCAGGGTATATCTAACGCGGCGCCTCCTCTTGACAACGCTTCGCTCCAACGCTTCGATTTAAATTTGCATAAAGTAGAGCAGAGCTGAACTTTTTCTACCACTCCGCTAGAAGGATTCTCAACGCTCACCTTCCTACAATCCCCCGCACATTTCTCTGGGGGCAGAACTTCTAATGCCGAATTTGTTGTTGGTGAAAACCCACTGTAAGTCACTCAGCTATAAGGGGCAAATCCTAACATTTTCACTTAGTCACGCATTGATTTCAATAGGCCAGGAGACTATGTGAAAATGTGTCTTAAATGGAAGTTAAGATTCGTCCCTAAAAGTGGTGTTGTGTGTGTGTGTGTGTGTGTGTGTGTGTGCGTGCGTGTGTCTATCTGTGTGTGTATGTGTGAGCATGTGAGTCGGAGTCTGTATGCGTGTGCGCGCTCGGGTTCTTACCTAGGGTGATGCCGTTGGGCCACTCGATGTTATCCGACACAAGGACCTGTCGGTCCACCCCATTCATCCCAGCCTTCTCGATCTTGGCCCGGGTGCCCCAGTCAGACCAGTACATGAACCTGGGGAGGAGAAGAATGGTGGTCCTCTGTAGATCGGTTGGTAGAGCATGGCGCTTGCAAAGCCAGGATAGTGGGTTGATCCCCGTGACCACCATTATGTAAAATGTATGCCTGCATGACTAAGTCGCTTTGGAAAAAAGCATCTGCTAAATGGCATATATTATGATATTATAGGGAAACCAATATGAAATCAAGCTGTTTACTGCAGTATGCATGTTTACGTGGACGGACATACTCTCTACATACTGACAAACATGTACACACAATGACATAATATCAAAACATATCACAAGTACAGTGAATGTGCTGATGGCTGGTGAGGTCAATCTGTGCCTGTAACACTCTGTGCCACACTGGACATTCTATATTATTGGTGGAAGTGCTCCCAGAGCAGGAGCTGTTGGTTATTCACCTGCGCTCTTGTCTTTTCAACATGGCATTGTTGGCCCTCTTGATTTCCGAGGTGGTTGCGCCAACACGACCACAAACCAACACACAAACCCCCACACTTACCCGTGCTGGGGGTCCAGGGCTATGGCTCTGGGCTCGCTGAGTTCTGTGTCCACCAGCACCCTCCTCTTGAGGCCGTCGTAGGCCGAGGCCACCGAGACGGTCTTGTGGCCCGAGTCAGTCCAGTAAAGGTTGTGCTGGACCCAGTCTAGGGCCAGGCCCTCGGGGGAGAGGAGAGAGCCAGAGTCCACCAGGGTCACCTGCTGGGACGGGTCACTGGCCTCCGGGATCAGAGCACTGGGGGAGAGAGGGGGACATGTGAATATGGTAATAGATAGGGGTGTAAAAAGAAAAGCTTGTGAATCGCACTCAAAGTCTTGCACCAGCTACCTTGAAAGTCAGAGCCAGGATTCAACGCAGATATACAACCTGTGCAGATTTATACTTGAGCAGACATCCACAGCTTTTCAGCAAACGTCAGACTGGTAATGGTCTGCCAGAGGAGATTAATATTCCTGCTGAAGACACTTTTATAAAGATACTTTTAAATGTATGATTTCAATGTATGATTTTAATTTAAATCAGTTCTTTAAATATGCAACAAGTGTTTTGTTTCATTCTGTTGAGACATTTTCTTTGGCCAAATTAAGTTCCGACTGTAATGTTGTGTTTGCTGCATTATATAATAGAATTACCGGTAGGCCTACAAGGGCTACTCGCTCCCAACCATGAAAAGGAAAAACCCAAAAAGGCGAGATGCAAAACGTTATTTAATGCCACAATATAATAACCTGTTCATGTTTTCCCTATAAACAATGACTTGACTTAACTTTATTAGGGTAGGGAATCAACAGTAAGAACCTTTTGTGAACGTTTGGTGTGATATGGTTATTATTAGGCGTAGCTACTGCAGGCCTAAGAAGGCAGAGCGCACCAGCGCTCCAACTGACTCCCACAGTTGAACTTGAGGTGATGAAGAATGTTTTAGGCCTACCAGAGTTACTCATTTTATCTAACAATATAATACTCATCACAAGGCCTACATTCATGCAATGCCCTGATGCATTTAGCTCTTAAATCTCTTAAAAGTTTTGAATATGCTACACATCGAACTATTTTTGTTGATGTTGTTATAGGCAATTTTTAAGGACACGTAACTGTGGATAATTTGCATAATATCGCTTGTTTATTGATGGCGCTGGCAGCACCCAGTAGGAGGTTTCTTTCGCTCTTTCGTTCTACTCTCAGATCTGAATGGGTCTCTCGGATCCGAACCAGCACGGGTTTGGGTATGCTTTTCAACAGGCCTTTTCGGAACGGGTCTGACTGTCCTCGGGTACATTCGGAACTGGTCTCTGTTTTTAAAAAAAATATTCATGCATATCGAGTCGGGTGGGAAAGCCACAGATCCATTTCAGAACGGGCTTAACTTTTTGGACACGTGAAGACCTCTAGCGCACAGGTCAGTAATCTGCGTTGGTTTGAATCTCCACCTCAGTTGCTGATGGTGCTAGTGGTGCCAGTAGCAGAGTGCCACGTGTGGCTGGCCATGGCTTCATGAAATAAATTAACCTTGTGTTAATTTCAAAAGGTTCATCTCACAGTCAGTCTCCGTAGGTGAGACACTGTATCCAGAATAGCAGCTGTCCACACAGGGAGCTGTCCTACAAGCTAATGACTGGGCACTTTTACAACAGGGGAGATGAGTATAGGTAATGGGTATAGATTCCAGTTCTCTGATACACTGTCGCAATTAGCACAATCCCATGTGGGATAAGAGACACCAGGTAGAGGTTAGAGAGGTATGAGGGCTAAAACAAATGAGTTCATTAAATGTGACTGGCTCCCACTCAAGTAGGAAAAAAATCGAATATAATGTACATATCCACTGGATTAATCCTTATTAATCCAATAATCCAATCCATCTGTGTTGAAACGTGTTCATATGAACAACTTTTTCAAGATATTTATTTTTCAAGACAAACATTTTCAAAAACAAAGCAATCCTAAGAGGTGATTGCATGAGGACATGAGCGAGTGAGGGAGCGAGTGATTGTCCTTCCCAAAGTTCATAGGTTAACTATCCGGAAAGGGGTCCCATTTTTCCCAGGTTTTTCCCAGGTTTCAGGTGGGAATGACGAGGCAATGCTTCAACTGAAAATCCTCCAAGAAGGATTTCTGAAAAACCTGTGAACTTGGGGAGAGTTTCAGAAATGTTGTAAATTGCAACCCTAAGGTCAAGTGTCAGAACCAGTACCTGTAGATGTTGCGGTGGAAGCGGTCGCACCAGAACAGGCGGTTATTGGCCACGTCTATGTCCAACGCCACAGTGTTTTTCTGGTTTGCCAGCACCTGGCTGTAGTCCCTCTTCACTGGGTCAACCCGACGGATCTCATGGCGGTTGGTGAACATCAGGTAGGGAGACTTCCCTGTAAAGGGAAAGTGGAGAGGTCAACTTATTTCGCCCATATTTTATGGCCAGAATACATATTCTATGGCCTATCTTCCTGGGGTCTTTCTGCGGGAGGGGTGTGAAAGTATTCACACTCCTTAACTTTTCCAATCAAATCACATTTTATTTGTCACATGCGCCGAATACAACAGGTCTAGATCTTACCGGGAAATGCTTACAAGCCATTAACCAACAATTCAGTTTTAAGAAAATAAGAGTTAAGAAAATATTTACTAGAGTAAAAAAGTAACACAATAAAATAACAATAACGAGCCTATATACAGGGGGTACCGGTATCAAATCAATGAGCGGGGGTACAAGTTAGTCGAGGAAAATTAGGTAATATGTACAGTACCAGTCAAAAGTTTGGACACACCTACTCATTCAAGGGTTTTTCTTTATTTTTACTATTTTCTACATTGTAGAATAATAGTGAAGACATCAAAACTATGAAATCACACATATGGAATCATGTAAACAAAAATAGAAACATCCCTTTTTCAGGACCCTGTCTTTCAAAGATGATTCGTAAAAATCCAAATAACTTCACAGATCTTCATTGTAAAGGGTTTAAACACTGTTTCCCATGCTTGTTCAATTAACCATAAACAATTAACGAACATGCACCTGTGGAACGGTCGTTAAGACACTAACAGCTTACAGACGGTAGGCAATTAAGGTCACAGGTATGAAAAGTTAGGACACTAAAGAGGCCTTTCTACTGACTCTGAAAAACACCAAAAGAAAGATGCCCAGGGTCCCTGCTCATCTGCATGAACGAGCATTAGGCATGCTGCAAGGAGGCATGAGGACTGCAGATGTGGCCAATAAATTGCAATGTCTGTACTGTCAGACGCCTAAGACAGCACTACAGGGAGACAGGATGGACAACTGATCGTCCTCGCAGTGGCAGACCACGTGTAACAACACCTGCACAGGATCGGTACATCCGAACATCACACCTGCAGGACAGGTACAGGATGGCAACAACAACTGCCCGAGTTACACCAGGAACACACAATCCCTCCATCACTGTCCGCAATAGGCTGAGAGAGGCTGGACTAAGGGCTTGTAGGCCTGTTGTAAGGCAAGTCCTCACTAGACATCACCGGCAACAACGTCGCCTATGGGCACAAACCCACCATCGCTGGACCAGACAGGACTGGCAAAAAGTGCTCTTCACTGACGAGTGGCGGTTTTGTCTCACCAGGGGTGATGGTCAGATTCGCGTTTATCGTCAAAGGAATGAGCGTTACACCGAGGCCTGTACTCTGGAGCGGGATCGATTTGGAGGTGGAGGGTCCGTCATAGTCTGTGGCGGTGTGTCACAGCATAATCGGACTGAGCTTTTTGTCATTGCAGGCAATCTCAACGCTGTGCATTACAGGGAAGACATCCTCGTCCCTCATGTGGTACCCTTCCTGCAGGCTCATCCTGACATGACCCTACAGCATGACAATGCCACCAGCCATACTGCTCGTTCTGTGCGTGAATTCCTGCAAGAAAGGAATGTCAGTGTTCTGCTATAGCCAGCGAAGAGCCTGGATCTCAATCCCATTGAGCACGTCTGGGACCTGTTGGATCGGATGGTGAGGGCTAGGGCCATTCCCCCCAGAAATGTCAGGGAACTTGCAGGTTCCTTGGTGGAAGAGTGGGGTAACATCTCACAGAAAGAACTGGCAAATCTGGTGCAGTCCATGAGGAGGATATGCACTGCAGTACTTAATGCAGCTGGTGGCCACACCAGATACTGACTGTTACTTTTGATTTTGACCCCCCTTTGTTCAGGGACACATTATTCAATTTCTGTTAGTCACATGTCTGTGTAACTTGTTCAGTTTATGTCTCGGTTGTTGAATCTTGTTATGTTCATAGAAATATTTACACATGTTAAGTTTGCTGAAAATAAACGCAGTTGACAGTGAGAGGACGTTTCTTTTTTTGCTGAGATTAGTAACCAAAAAAGTGCTAAACAAATCAAAATACATTTTATATTTGAGATTCTTCAATGTAGCGACCCTTTGCCTTAATGACAGCTTTGCACGCTCTTGGCATTCTCTCAACCAGCTTCATGAAGTAGTCACCTGGAATGCATTTCTATTAACAGGTGTGCCTTGCTAAACGTTAATTTGTGGAATTTATTTTCTTCTTAATGCGTTTGAGCTAATCAGTTGTGTTGTGACAAGGTAGGGGTGATATACAGAAGATAGCCCTATTTGGTAAAAGACCAAGTCCATATTACGGCAAGAACAGCTCAAATAGCAAAGAGAAACGACAGTCCATCATTACTTTAAGACATGAAGGTCAGTCAATACAGAACATTTCAAGAACTTTGAAAGTTTCTTCAAGTGCAATCGCAAAAACCATCAAGCGCTATGATGAAACTGGCTCTCATGAGGACCACCACAGGAAAGGAAGACCCAGAGTTACCTTTGCTGTAGAGGATAAGTTCATTAGAGATACCAGCCTCAGATTGCAGCCCAAATAAATGCTTCACAGAGTTCAAGTAACAGACACGTCTCAACATCAACTGTTCAGAGGAGACTGCGTGAATCAGGCCTTCATGGTCAAATTGCTGCAAAGAAACCACTACTAAAGGACACCAATAAGAGGAAGAGACTTGCTTGGGCCAAGAAATACGAGCAATGGACGTTAGACTGGTGGAAATCTGTCCTTTGTTCTGATGAGTCCAAATTGGAGATGTTTGGTTCCAATCGCCGTGTCTTTGTGAGACACAGAGTAGGTGAACGGATTATCTCCGCATGTGTGGTTCCCAACGTGAAGCATGGAAGAGGAGGTGTGATGGTGTGGGGGTGCTTTGCTGGTGGCACTGTCTGTGATTTATTTAGAATTCAAGGCACACTTAACCAGCATGGCTACCACAGCATTCTGCAGCGAAACGCCATCCCATCTGGTTTGCGCTTAGTGGGACTATCATTTTTTTTCAATAGGACAATGACCCAAAACACACCTCCAAGCTGTGTAAGGGCTATTAGACCAAGGAGAGTGATGGAGTGCTGCATCAGATGACCTGGCCTCCACAATCACCCGACCTCAACCCAATTGAGATGGTTTGGGATGAGTTTGTAACGATCTCGGTTCGACAGACACTGGGAGATGGGAAGCAAGTACAGGGTGAGGATTTAATAAATAAAAGACATGGAACAAAACACGGACAGCGTCTGGACAGGGAAACGAAACATCATCAATGCAGACACAGTGATCAAACTGGGGAACAGACAGATATAGAAGGGGCAATCAACAAAGTGAAGGAGTCCAGGTGAGTCCAATGAGCGCTGATGCGCATAATGATGGTAACATTGGAGTCGGCTGAGGCGTGGAAACCTGACGAGTCGGCTGAGGCGTGGGCTGTGAGCCTGATGAACCAGCTGAGGCATGGGAGCCCGACTAGCCGGGTGAGGCGTGACGTGGGATTGGAGCCTGCCGAGCCAACTGAGGCACCTCCAGTTCCTTTGGCCGCGGCAACCAGACCAGACGTCAACAACAACAACAACAACAAACACTTCCTGATGCTTCCAATATTTGTGTCTGCATTCGGATGCCGAGCAGTTGCCATACCAGGCAGTGATGCAACCTGTCAGGATGCTCTCGATTGTGCAGCTGTAGAACGTTTTGAGGATCTGGGGACCCATGTCAAATCTTTTCAGTCTCCTGAGGGGGAATAGGCATTGTCGTACCCTCTTCACGACTGTCTTGGTGTGTTTAGACCATGATAGTTTGTTGGTGATGTGAACTCTCGACCCGCTCCACTACAGCCCCGTTGATGTGAATGGGGGTGTGTTTGGCCCTCCTTTTCCTGTAGTCCACAATCAGCTCCTTCGTCTTGCTCACATTGAGGGAGAGGTTGTTGTCCTGGCACCATATTGCCAGGTCTCTATAGGCTGTCTCATCGTTTTTCCACATTTTGTAGTGATACAGCCTGAATTTAAAATGGATTAAATTGAGATTAAGTGTAACTGGCCTACACACAATATCCCATAATGTCAAAGTGGAATTAAGTTTTTAGACATTTTTACAAATTAATTAAAAATAAAAAGCTGAAATGTCTTGAGTCAATAATTATTCAACCTCGTTACATACATCTACATTGCCTTCAGAAAGTATTCACACCCCTTGACTTTTTCCATATTTTGTAGTGTTACAGCCTGAATTTAAAATAGATTAAATTGAGAGGAAGTGTAACTGGACTACTCACAATACCCCATAATTGTGAGAGTGTGACTTAAAGGAGTCAGGCGCAGGAGGGTAAATCACTGAATACAGAGTTTATTCCGTAGTACACAGTTACGCTGGATAGCGTCAACAGCACAGGGTGTAATACCGGCGCACTGGAACACAATACAGGCACACGGGGAGAAATAACCCCGGCAATACAAAGTACGGATAGCTCAACCGAGCTACACTCATTTTCACATAAAACAATCACTCACAAGGACAAGGGGGCAGAGGGAACACTTATACACAGACTAATGAGAGGATATGAACCAGGTGTGTGTAATTAACAAGACAAGACAAATGGAATGATGATATATGGAGCGGCAGTGGCTAGTAAGCTGGTGACGACGAACGCCGAAACCTGCCCGAACAAGGAGGGGAGGCAGCCTCGGCGGAAGTCGTGACAATAATGTCAAAGCGGAATTATGTTTTTAGACATTTTTACAGATTACTTAGAAATGAAAATCTTAAATGTCTTGTGTCAATACATTTTCAACCCCCTTGTCATGGCAAGCCTAAACAAGTCACATAATAAGTTGCATGGACAATAATAGTGTTTAACTTTTTAATGACTACCTCAACTTTGTACCCCGCACATACAATTATCTGTAAGGTCCCTCAGTTGAACAGTGAATTTCAAACACAGATTCAACCACAAAGACCAGGGAGGTTTTCCAATGCCTCGCAAAGAAGGGTGGCTATTGGTAGAAGCAGACATTGAATATCCCTTTGAGCATGGTGGTGAAGTCCTTAATTACACTTTGGATGGTGTATCAATACACCCAGTCACTTCAAAGATACAGGCGTCCTTCCTAACTCAGTTGCTGTAGAGGAAGGAAACCACTCAGGGATTTCACCATGAGGCCAATGGTGACTTTAAAACAGTTACAGAGTTGATAGGAGAAAACTGAGGATGGATCCACAACATTGTAGTTACTCCACAATACTAACCTAAATGACAGAGTGAAAAGAAGGAAGCCTGCACAGAATAAAACATATTCCAAAACATGCATCCTGTTTGAAATAAGGCACTAAAGTAAAACTGCAAGAAATGTGGCAAAGAAATTAACTTTATGTCGTGAATACAAAGCGTTATGTTTGGGGCAAATCCAACACAACACAACACTGAGTACCACTCTTCATATTTTCAAGCATGGTGGTGGCTGCATCATGTTATGTGTATGCTTGTCATTGCCAAGGACTAGGGAGTTTTTTGGGGGATAAAAATAAACAGAATATAGCTAAGCACAGGCAAAATCCTACAGGAAAACCTGTATCAGTCTGCTTTCCAACAGACACTGGGAGACAAACTCACCTTTCAGCAGGACAATAACATAAAACACAAGGCCTAGTTACAGTTTTGACTTAAATCGGCTTGAAAATCTATGGCAAGACTTGGAAATGGCTGTCTAGATATGGTCAACAACCAACTTGACAAAGCTTGAATAATTTTTTTAAGAATCAATGTGCAAAGCTCTCAGAGACCCACAGCTGTAAACCATTCTACTGCTAATGTTTGTCTATGGAGATTGCAAGGCAGTGTGCTTGATTTTATACACCTGTCAGCAACGGGTGTGGCTGAAATAGCCGAATCCACTAATTTGAAGGGGTGTCCACATACTTTTGTATATATAGTGTATATGATACGCAAGTGAACACTGTATATACGCTTGCGTGTATACACACACACACACACACACACACACACACACACACACACACACACACACACACACACACTAAACCCCCCCCCAAAAAAAATAAAATAAACTAGTGCAGCAGGATAAAGAAACATTCTCATTAAACCACACTACTTTCCTAACTAGTTTTAGCGACAGATTGACGTATTTACATTCTGAATCCATTTAATTACGCTAGCATGCCCTCGAGGCACCAAGGTGAGTCACAGCAGTTTAGCTCATTACAACAAATAATTTCTAATAGCATGACATGAGTACCTCTCCAAATAACAATGCCAAGAGGGTAATTTCTCTAATTCTTGTCTCCTCAGAAAATAATCCCCAAAAGCTTGAAGAGAGAGAGGAATTATGAGGAGAGGAGAGAAGAGGCCATGTTTACACTCTTAAAAAAGCATTTCCTAATTGGAAGGATTGGGAGAGTCACACTCAACGCTCATTCACCGACTAAAGAAGCAGTGGTTTGTGTGTGTGTGTGTGTCAGTGAGTGAGTGAATGAGTGAGTGAGTGAGTGATTGAATGAGTGAGTGTGACTAAAGTAGCAGCTGGTCCCTCAAACCTGTCGACTGCTGTGATATTACTCTCATTAAAATGCACTAATATCATTTAGCACGGCTGGGCTGTGTGTGTAAGCAAGCGTGTGTATCTGTGTGTGTGAAACAGTAGTCATACTGACACTTGTTAGGTGTTTTAGATGTACTACGTATCAACCAAGGTGCATAAAAAGACAATGAGCAACAACAAGATCATTCAGAGGAAAATGTAAGTGCTTCTTTGTTATCAACAACCAATATGGCATTAAAGGGGTGTTGTTTCTTTCCTGAAATACAGAAACACTTAATTGAACCTCTTGGGTGCGTGTTGAAGCAGCAAACAGAGAGCGCATTTAACCTTATGTCTTCTGTATAAATATTTGATTTTTTCTCCAGCTCCTGTGCCATGTGTCGCACATCCCTAGGCTCTTGTCTAGATCTCAGGAGAATGGATATGAGCAACGCTGAAAGCTCCACCTTGCTATCTGATAGTCTAGGTAGAATTTTCACCATACTGCTCACACCTATCTAATTCTTTCAGATCTACATGAGTGCTTAAGGGGTATGGGCTAGGGATCGGTTTGGGGTTCAGCACATCTCTTTTCCTCCTCGCTCCCTACCCCCTTCCCTGCCGCTGTCACACACCTTCTGCCTTGCCGGTCTTGGTGACGGGGTCCATCTCATAGCCTTCGTAGCACTCACACTTGAAGTCTCTACCTTCCTCTCTCTGTCTCTCCCTTCCTCCCTCACTCACCCTCTGCTTCAACCCTCACTCTCTTCCCCTTTTCCCTCTCATTCACTCACCTTCTGCCTTGCAGGTCTTGGTGACGGGGTCCATCTCATAGCCTTCGTAGCACTCACACTTGAAGTCTCCCTTGTAGTTGATGCAGATCTGGCTGCAGGCGTTGGGGCTCTCGCACTCATCAATGTCTGGGGCGGAATGGAAGAGGGGGTTATCAATCACACTGGACTCTAATGGTGGAGGTGTGTGTGTGTGTGTGTGTGTGTGAGTGTGTGTGTGTGTGTGTGGGGGGGGGGTTAGGGTTAGGGAAAATAGGATTTTGAATGGAAATACATTTTAGGTCCCCACGAGGATAGAAGAACATAATGTGTCTGTGTGTGCAGTTGTGAATTTAATGTGGGGGGTAAATAGCTGTCACCTTGGACTGAACAGATCTCTCTTGGTAAAATAAAGGTAAAATACACTCTGTGGCTTAAAAGCTGCACTTCTAAGAAAAAATAGCAATTCAAAAAGAGAGTACAAAATGTGAGACCGTCTCTGTGGGTTCAAGTCTTCACATTTCTTCCAACAGATAACAATATTTTACTTTGAGTGATAGTGATAAAAGGGATGACATTTCGAGGAGGGGTTATGAAGGTCACTGTACTATTTATGTGTGTGTCTATACTATACTGTGTGTATCTCTCTCTCTGTGTGTGTGTGCATCTGTATACTGTCGTATGTGTGTTTGCACGCTCTCAATATTCACCTCCACATGTCCTCTTGTCCAATAGCTGGTACCCGGTGGGACACTGGCACTCGTAGCCGATTGGTCGATCCAGGCAGATGTGAGAGCAGCCGCCGTTGTTGAGTGTGCACTCGTTGAGTCCTGGGAGACAGGAGGTCAGAGGTCAGATATAACCACTAGGAGAGGCCTTTTAGCACCTGGGTCATGTCCATTCAGCACCAAACAGAAGAAAACGGACTGAAACAGGGAGGGACTACTTGGATTTAAAACGTTTTCCGGTGCGTGTCGAAATGAACACAACCATGATAGTAACTGAAAGAGTGGCCCAATTCCATTTCTCATTCTCCGTTCAGTCGCTCACCCCACTTGCTCAGTTCCACTCCATGGAATCTCCATCGAGTTCCGAAGGCGTCAACACCGTCCTATTGAGTGCCCTTCAATAATTTGTTTTCAAGCTTCTCAGCATCTCTGATCCTCCACAATGCCCAGCTTTCTCCTCTCCTCTTCGGTAACACCCTATCAAATAGCGGCCAGTCAAGTTACGCTCACATGTTCACTCACTGTTTTGAAGTGGGACTGAGTGAGAGAAGGAAGCGAGTGAATGAAAGCAGAGAAAGTGAATTAAGATTGAACACAATGAAGACTAATTTATCCCCAATTAAACAATCAAGGATGGCTGAAAAATGCTTTCCACCAATCACGGTAGATCAGTGAATAACAGCGTACCCCAGCAGTTCCCAAACTAGGGGTCGCGTGAAATGAAAATGGGGTCGCGGGAGAATTTCCAAAATCCTTATGAAAATAAATATACTGTATATACAAAAATATATACAGTAGATACACTACATGACCAAAAGTATGAACATCTCATTCCAAAATCATGGGCATTAATATGGAGTTGGTCCCCCCTTTGCTGCTATAACAGCCTCCACTCTTCTGGGAAGGTTTTCCACTAGATGTTGGAACATTGCTGCGGGGACTTGCGTCCATTCAGCCACTAGAGCATTAGTGAGGTCAGGCACTGATGTTGGGAGATTAGGCCTGGCTCGCAGTTGGCATTCCAATTAATCCCAAAGGTGTTCGATGGTGTTGAGGTCAGGGCTCTGTGCAGGCCAGTTAAGTTCTTCCACACTGATCTCGACAAACCATTTCTGTATGGACCTCGCTTTGTGCATGGGGGCATTGTCATGCTGAAACAGGAAAGGGCCTTCCCCAAACTGTTGCCACAAAGTTGGATGCACAGAATCGTCTAGAATGTCATTGTATGCTGTAGCGTTAAGATTTCCCTTCACTGGAACTAAGGGGCCTAGCCCGAACCATGAAAAACAGCCCTAGAACATTATTCCTCCTCCACCAAACTTTACAGCTGGCACTATGTATTCGGGCAGGTAGCGGCATCCGCCAAACCCAGATTCATCCGTTGGACTGCCAGATGGTGAAGCAAGATTCATCACTCCAGAGAATGCATTTCTACTGCTCCAGAGTCCAATGGCGGCAAGCTTTACACCATTCCAGCCGACGCTTAGCATTGAGCATGGTGATCTTAGGCTTGTGTGCGGCTGCTCAGCCATGGAAACCCATTTCATGAAGCTCCCGACGAACAGTTATTGTGCTGACGTTGCTTCCAGAGGCAGTTTGGAACTCGGTAGTGAGTGCTGCAACCGAGGACAGGCGATTTTTACTCTCCACGCGCTTCAGCACTTGGTGGTCCCGTGCTGTGAACTTGTGTGGCCTACCACTTCGCGGCTGAGCCGTTGTTGCTCCTAGACGTTTCCACTTCACAATAACAGCACTTACAGTTGACTGGGGCAGCTCTAGCAGGGCAGACATTTGATGAACTGACTTGTTGGAAAGGTGGCATCCTATGACGGTGCCATGTTGAAAGTCACTGAGCTCTTCAGTAAGGCCTTTCTACTGCCAATGTCTATTGAGATTGCATGGCTGTGTGCTTGATTTTATACACCTGTCAGCAACGGGTGTGGCTGAAATAACCAAATCCACTAATTTGAAGGGGTGTCCACATACTTTTGTATATATATAGTGTATTATAATATCGTATTTGTATCTCAAAATCATTGTAATTTGGTTAACCTTAAAAATCGAAATGAAAATTATTCATATCTAAAAGACAACATTTTACCACAGAGCCACGTTAGATCATGGGAAAAGGCTGCACTTGACCGTTGCACTTGAATCATTCCCAGGTGAATGGCTAGGCCTGCTACGCTATGAAACCACACACTATTGCAGAGACTTTAATATTACTGGACACAATTGATATGGTGAAAACAATGTGTGGGGAGGCAAAGGCACAGAAACTCACATCAATACCTTTGTCAGATAACACTGTTAAACAAATAATTTATGCTACTGCTAGCAACCAAGAGGGAACTCTGACTGAACGACTCAAAAACTCCCCAGTTTAGGCTCTCCAAATGGTGAGGGCCTAAATGTCCATGCATTCACTTTTGTTCGCTATACATGTTCGGGGGATGCTATTCACGAGGACATATTGTTCTGTCTCATGATCCCTGAGCATGAAACGGCATAGGGGATGTTCAGTGTGTTGTGAGGTTATACTGACATAAAAACAGATTCCATATGGGATTGAATAGTGGGCTTTGGCACAGATGGGGCTCCAGAGAACTCAGAGATACTGCAGCAGGTAACTTCGATTGTAAACTACATCAAACCACATCCACTGCGCCCACGCCTGTTCCCAAAACTATGTGGAGATATGGGATCAGAGCATGACAATGTTCTATTTCACACAGAGGCTTGGTGGTTATCGAGGGGGAGTGTTGGATAGATTTTTCGCATTGAGAGTGGAACTGCTGTATAAAATAACAGACCTGGTTGACTTTCTGTGTAATGAAAAGAAAAGAATAGAAAACACCATCAGTACTGAAACAGGACCCAAGTGGTAAATATAAAGATCCAGTACACGGGTGATGACTGCTCACCTCCAACGCTTGGAAGAGTACTTTGGGACCTACTTCCCAATCAATTTGACTGTGATCCTGGCTCAGTTGACATGCCACTAGGTGAAATCGAACAGCTGGGCCTCCCGAGTGGCAGTGCTCGAGGCGTCACCAGGCTGTGTCGCAGCCGGCCACGACCGGGAGAGCCATGAGGCGGCGCACAATTGAAGCAGTGCAGCTTGGCGGGGTCGCGTTTCGGAGGACGCATGGCTCTCGACCTTCGCCTCTCCCGAGTCCGTACGGGAGTTGCAGCGATGGGACAAGACTAACTACCAATTGGATATCGAGAAAAAGGGGTACAAAATATATAATAATAATTTTCAACAGCTAATCGAGCAGTCATGTGCTGCAGACAACGCATTCACGGGTCACTACGGAGGAGTTTTGGTTCCTGACTCAAAGGGAATACCCTGCCGTCTCCCTCATTAACGCCACGTTCAAAACAACTGGGAACTCAGAACTGGCAAATGGGAAATCTCTAACTTCCGACTTCAATGCATTTAAGACAATTGGGAACTCGGAAAGAAACAAGCTCCGACTGGGAAAAATCCCTTTAAATGGTCATCCAACTTGGAATTCCAACTCAGGCCTCTTTCTAGAGCTCCGACTTTCCGACCTAAAGATCACTGACGTCATGATTTGACCTCGGTCCCAGTTGTTTTGAAAGCACCATAAAACTCATGGTAGGCTACCCTTCGCCGGCTCATATCTGTGTGAAGCTGGATTCAGTGCTCTCGTCTCCATTAAAACCAAATATCGATATAGGTGGCCCCCTGAGAATCTCCGACGCGACATGCATCAAGCCACACCCATCTCATTAGTGGTGGTGAGATAAGAGACATTATGTCAGACTAATTTTCAATTGACTATCATAGACCCTCATTAAAAGTATGTGATGGTGAGTTGAGAAGACAATCAGAAATACTGTTAGAATGTTTTTCAATTGACTGCCATTAGGCCAAATAAAAAAGTAAACATTGGTTGTTAATGACATAATTTCCACCTAATGTGTGTATGCTAAATGACTAAAATGTAAATGTAAATGTAATTAGGGAGGTGACCTCTAAATCATGCCTCTCTATCCATGAGAGCTGGTTTGGAAAGCTGTTACAGTTTTCACACTCAAGTAGCCTCAAAGGACCTTTCTTTCTTTCTTTCTTTCTTTCTTTCTTTCTTTCTTTCTTTCTTTCTTTCTTTCTTTCTTTCTTTCTTTCTTTCTTTCTTTCTTTCTTTCTTTCTTTCTTTCTTCCAATATACTTTGTATCCCTCATTTACTCAAGTGTTTCCGTTATTTTGGTAGTTACCTGTATGTACTCACACACACACACACACACACACACGTGCACACACTTTCTCCCCCTCTCTCTCTATCCCTTTTACCTCCCACCCTCCCTCGCTCTCTCCTTTTCCCGCTCTCTTTAAAACCTCTAATGCATCGTCGCTCCTCATAAGCTCATCCCGGGGATAAAAGCAGCATCTGCCTGTTTTAGAAAGGCTGCATCATGATACAGCATTCAATCAATACTTGTGGTAATAGGCTTTCATTTCTAATGGAACGGTAAAATATCAAATACATAAAAACACATGCCTGAGTGCACCGAGAAATAAACTCCGGTTTATTTTTGCAGTGTTAAGGTTGAGGGGAGTAAATTGGGCCCATTATCCTGGCTGGTGTGTGTGTGTGTGTGCTTCTAAATGTGTGTGTGTGTCGTGTGTGTGTGTGTGTGTGTGTGTGTGTGTGTGTGTGTGTGTGTGTGTGTGTGTGTCGTGTCTGTGTATAAATGTTTGTGTGAGTGTATAAGTGTATAAGTGTATGTGTGGTTTACAGCATCTGTCTCTTGGTGTGTCTGCTGTATAAACGTGTGTGTTTTGCTGGGCTGCTCCGCTAAAGGGGAACATCTTGCGAGTGAAGGGTTGAGCGAGTAGAGGGAAGCGTTAGGTGTCTGTGGACACGCTTTTAATGAGCTGAATAAAGGCTGATGAGAAGTCAGAGAGACAGAGAGGGAGGGAGGGAAGGAGAGAGAGAAAGGAGAAGAGAGAGGGGGAGGGGCAGAGAGAGAGAAAGAGAGAGATGGGGCAGGAGAGGGGGAGAGAGGGAGAGGGGGAGGAAGGGAAGAGAAAAATAGGAAGAGAGAGTTAAAAAGAGACGAGACAGACGGAGAGACAGAAAAAAAGAAAGAGGAGAGGAGCTCCCTTTGGGATTTCTGTTTCGGTTTCATACTTTCTCCTTCCTTGCCCTTGCCTCTCTTATATTCTCTCCACCCTCTTCTCACTCCTTTAATCTCACCCTTCCACCTCCCCTTCCTCTCCACCTCCCCTTCCTCTCCACCTCCCCTTCCACTCCACCTCCCCTTCCACTCCACCTCCCCTTCCTCTACACCTCCCCTTCCTCTCCACCTCCCCTTCCTCTCCACCTCCCCTTCCTCTCCACCTCCCCTTCCTATCTCACTCTTCCTGCCTTTTTGCAGCATCGCACATTTTATTTTGTCCCACTCCCCTGCTACCCTGTCTCTAGGGATTTGGAGGTGTGTAGTCTTGAGAAAGCCGTGGCCCAGCAATTTACAGATTTTCCAAATTCGAGCTATGAATCCTATCAGTCTGGTTTTGACCTCACCACAGCACTGAAACCGCCTGTATAAAAGTCACTAATGACTTATTACTTGTTATTACTTATTATTATTACAACGACACTCTCTCTATACTAATACTTCTCAATTTAAGCTCAGCTTTTGATACTATCTACCATCATATTCTCCTCAGGTGCCTAGAGACAAATGTCGGTCTTCAAGGTCAGGCGCACTCTTGGTTTCGCTCCTATCTGTCAGACAGACTCCAATTTGTGCAATTACATCATGAATCCTCGCCCTTAACCAGTGTCAGATTCGGCGTACCTCAAGGGGCGGTTTTGGGACCGTTATTGTTTCATTGTACGTTATCCCTAGGAGATGTAATTTGCAAAAACAAAATTAACTTTCATTGTTATGCTGATGATACTCAACTATATCTGTCAATGAAACCCGGTGACGTCACACAAATATTGCACTTATAGAACCTAAATTCATACAAAACAGAAATTATTATTTTTGCCCCCCAAAAAACAACTCCATTGTTAAAATAGATGGTGCTGTCATTATAGCAAAACAATCTGTCAAAGACCTCGGTCTTACACTTGACTCTGACCTCTCCTTCAACACCCACATAAAGAACATTTCCAGAGCAGCCTTTTTTCATCTAAGAAACGTAGCAAAAATAAGAAACCTACTTTCATTTACCGATGCCGTACTGGCCATGCACACCAGTTGTGGGTAGAAAATATGAACCAGGAGGATGAACCTAGCTACCACAACTAGGTTTGGGCGATATACCGTTTATACAGTATACCGGTGTATTTCCAAATACAGACAGTATGATTTTCAATATCGTTTTAAAAAATGGGGGTGCGTGCTACACCACTGCTTATAACTAACTATAAGTTAAGTATAACTATAAGAAATCTAAGATGTGTCAAATAAATTATATCCAGCTCAGCTATGCATATATATGGATACTGCCCAAACCCTAAGCACAACAAGTCAACCACTTTGGGAGGGCAAGCATGCCAAATAAGTGAAAGTAAGAACTACAACTGAAGCCAAAAAAGCACAGTCAAAGAGGATAATTATTATTCTGTCAAGGAAACTTTATTTTGGAAGAAATAGAGGCATAATAAGACAAAATAAACCTTGGTCAAAAGCAGTGCGCTGTATAGAGAATCGGGTGCCATTTGGGACGCAGGAACTGTCTGTCTCACTGTCTGTAAGTCCTACTACAACCAGGGAAAGTAACAATTAGGCCAGGCGCTACACCACGAGGCACCTGTATTTTATCCTTACCCTGAGAGAGGTGAGATACAGGGAGAGTTACAAAGGGAGAGACAGAAGACAGACACACAGTTTCTTTACCTCTCTCACACACACACGCGCACACATGCACACAAACACACCCACTGTTCACAGATCACTCCAGTCCTCTACTACACGAAAGGTTGAGCCCATTAGGAGCAATGGGTGAGTGGCTATTGAGCAGGGATTGGATGGAAAGTGGCCATAATCCCTTTGAAGAGGACCCTCTCAGTATGTGTGTTTGTGTTTTTATCCTACATGGAACAGACTGAAATACCAGCCCCTTTATGTCATGCCTGAACAGCTTTGGGTATGAGTGCAAACTTGTGGTAATGATATTTGGCAGTCCCGGTCATGTACATAGGCTGACAGTGTGTGGCCTTCAGATTGCAGGCCTGCATAAGACAAAGGCAAAGCAGCTAGCAAGGTACTGCTATGTGTCAGCCTTGCTGTATGGAGAAGAAGGTACATAAGTGTGCTATATCCGCCATCTTTGAGATGTTTGAATCCTTCGACTGTAATGTGATTTGTGGATTCAAAAAAACATATTTAAAATGTGTGTGTGTGCGCGCGTCCTTACCACACTCCTTCTTGGGCTCATCGGAGCGGTCCTTGCAGTCCTTGACGTTGTCACACACCTTAGTGCTGTCGATACACTCTCCGTTCTTACACAGGAACTTCAGGGGCCCCTCACACTTAGTGGCTGTTGCAGGAAGAGATGGGGAAATAGTTTTACTACAGACAGGCAGACAGACAGGTAGCCAGGAAGACATACACAGAGAAGCAGTCAGACAGGTACAGACAGACAGACAAAAGGTCAGCCAGACATAAAGCCTGCCAGTCAGGAAGTTGGCCAAACAGCCAGCCAGACAAACAGACACAAGCAGCCAGCCAGACAGATACATAAACAGACAGACAGAGACAGCCAAACAGACAGCCAGCCAGTCAAACAACCAGACAGACAACCAGCCAAGCAGACGGCCATCCAGACATCCAGCCCGAAATCCAGCCAGCCAACCAGCCACACACACACAACCAGCCAGACATTGTCATCCATCCATCCAGCCAGACATTGTCATCCATCCATCCAGCCAGCCACAGACAGACAGGTGACCGATATCCTGCCTCAAGATGGAGGCCAGAGCAGAGCAGAGTCCACCCCCCACAGTCGCCATTAATTCCCTAGCCCAGACATGAAACTGCCTTCCTACCGTTGACACAGCCTGCCTCGTCACTCTGGTCAGGACAGTCGTGGACCTTGTTACACTGCTTGGTGCCGTGGATACAGGCGCCGTCGCCACACTGGAATTCATCTGGGCGGCACGTCAGCAGAGCTGTAGCACATGGACACACAAACACACACACACACACACACAGGATGGAGAGAGAGTTGGATAAACATTGTAACTAGACTACAGGCTTAGAAGAGGAGATCTATAAACAATATACAGTGTTTCCCCTATATTCATTTATATCCATAATGAAAATGTATGCCCTCACTACTACTGTAAGTCGTGCTGGATAAGAGTGTCTGCTAAATGACGTAAATGTAAATTTAGCAGCGGCGGGATCTGATTAAGGCCCACTAATCTAGTGCTGCGCCACCACTAAAACACACTCTCATACAGAGACAGGACAGCGGCTGGGAATGCCTCTCCACATTATTGAATCATACTGTAGATACTGTACCAATAGTGGAATCAGGTAGCTCAGCAGGGTTATGCAACGCAACAACAGAGTTGTGGGTGGCAGTGTTTCTCCTACCATTGTTTAGTCTAGGCGCTCATTTGTCTTTAATTAAAAACGTTGGTTGAAGAGGACCTAGATATAGCGCCCCGCCTGGAAAATAATCTAGCTAGGGGAAACACTGAGTTGTGGGTTTGATTCTTGTCTGTCTGTCTGGCAACATACAGAGAATACAGTGCATACAGTTTACACATACAGTACACTGTACTACTACTGAATGTACTACAAGCAATATGTGTGCTCCATCATAATACAATAACAGTGTAGCTTGAACTCGTTCTGATATGACTTCTTTTTGGATTATGTGTGTATTGTTATTGTATTGCTAGATATTGCTGCACTGTTGGAGCTTGAAACATAAGCATTTCGCTGCACCTGCGATAACATCTGCAAAACGGTGTCCGCGACCAATAAACTCGCTGTGGCCAAAAGGGACACACGGAGACACAGCGATGGCTCTGGCTTTCTTGTCAAAACTGAAGATCTCATTATTATTCAAAAGCACGGGCCACATAATAATGAATAATATATACGTGTAAGTTACCAGTCACTTTGAATAACGCTATATGACCACCACACCAGTGATAGTGTGGTGGGCCAAAAGTGCCACAGAGACACAGTGATATGACGTTCTCCCCAGCCCTGGCTTTCTTGTCAAACCCAAGACCTCGATATTATTCAAGGGCTTTTAAACGCTCAAGGACATTAATGGGTTGCCTAGCAACTAGTGTTGGGCATAGCTGCGTGAAGTAGGGGAGCTGAGGGTCCTGCAGTGCCCCCTGTATTAGCGGACCGATATACAGTGGGGAGAACAAGTATTTGATACACTGCCGATTTTGCAGGTTTTCCTACTTACAAAGCATGTAGAGGTCTGTAATTTTTATCATAGGTACACTTCAACTGTGAGAGACGGAATCTAAAACAAAAATCCCGAAAATCACATTGTATGATTTTTAAGTAATTCATTTACATTTTATTGCATGACGTAAGTATTTGATACATCAGAAAAGCAGAACTTAATATTTGGTACAGAAACCTTTGTTTGCAATTACAGAGATTATACGTTTCCTGTAGGTCTTGACCAGGTTTGCACACACTGCAGCAGGGATTTTGGCCCACTCCTCCATACAGACCTTCTCCAGATCATTCAGGTTTCGGGGCTGTCGCTGGGCAATACAGACTTTCAGCTCCCTCCAAAGATTTTCTATTGGGTTCAGGTCTGGAGACTGGCTAGGCCACTCCAGGACCTTGAGATGCTTCTTACGGAGCCACTCCTTAGTTGCCCTGGCTGTGTGTTCCGGGTCGTTGTCATGCTGGAAGACCCAGCCACGACCCATCTTCAATGCTCTTACTGAGGGAAGGAGGTTGTTGGCCAAGATCTCGCGATACATGGCCCCATCCATCCTCTCCTCAATACGGTGCAGTCGTCCTGTCCCCTTTGCAGAAAAGCATCCCCAAAGAATGATGTTTCCACCTCCATACTTCACGGTTGGGATGGTGTTCTTGGGGTTGTACTCATCCTTCTTCTTCCTCCAAACACGGCGAGTGGAGTTTAGACCAAAAAGCTCTATTTTTGTCTCATCAGACCACATGACCTTCTCCCATTCCTCCTCTGGATCATCCAGATGGTCATTGGCAAACTTCAGACGGGCCTGGACATGCGCTGGTTTGAGCAGGGGGACCTTGCGTGCGCTGCAGGATTTTAATCCATGACGGCGTAGTGTGTTACTAATGGTTTTCTTTGAGACTGTGGTCCCAGCTCTCTTCAGGTCATTGACCAGGTCCTGCCGTGTAGTTCTGGGCTGATCCCTCACCTTCCTCATGATCATTAATGCCCCACGAGGTGAGATCTTGCATGGAGCCCCAGACCGAGGGTGATTGACCGTCATCTTGAACTTCTTCCATTTTCTAATAATTGCGCCAACAGTTGTTGCCTTCTCACCAAGCTGCTTGCTTATTGTCCTGTAGCCCATCCCAGCCTTGTGCAGGTCTACAATTTTATCCCTGATGTCCTTACACAGCTCTCCGGTCTTGGCCATTGTGGAGAAGTTGGAGTCTGTTTGATTGAGTGTGTGGACAGGTGTCTTTTATACAGGTAACGAGTTCAAACAGGTGCAGTTAATACAGGTAATGAGTGGAGAACAGGAGGGCTTCTTAAAGAACAACTAACAGGTCTGTGAGAGCCGTAATTCTTACTGGTTGGTAGGTGATCAAATACTTATGTCATGCAATAAAATGCAAATGAATTACTTAAAAATCATACAATGTGATTTTCGGGATTTTTTTTTTTTTAGATTCTGTCTCTCACAGTTGAAGTGTACCTATGATAAAAATTACAGACCTCTACATGCTTTGTAAGTAGGAAAACCTGCAAAATCGGCAGTGTATCAAATACTTGTTCTCCCCACTGTAGCTGTCTGTAGCGTGGGCACTAGATTTGAAATGATACCATGACTATGAGGTTAAAGTGCCGACTTTCAGCTTTAATTTGAGGGTATTTTAATCCATACTACAGCACTTTTTGTACATAGTCCCTTCGTTTTAGGGGAACAAAAGTATTGGGACAAATTCACTTAAATGTGTATTAAAGTAGTCAAAAGTTTCATATTCCTAGCACGCATTGATTACGTCAAGCTTGTGACTCCACAAACTTGTTGGATGCATTTGCTGTTTGTTTTGGTTGCATTTCAGATTCCTTTGTGTCCTATAGAAATGAATGGTAAATAATGTATTGTGTTATTTTAGTGTCACTTTTATTGTAAATAAGAATAGAATATGTTTCTAAACACTTCTACATTAATGTGGATGCTACCATGATTACGGATAATCCTGAATGAATCGTTAATAATGATGAGTGAGAAAGTTACAGATGCACAAATATCATACCCCCCCCAAAGAAATTGCGAACCTCCCCCAATTTTGTAATCGTGAGAATTTAGCATATCTTGGGGGTATGATCTTTATGTGTCTATAACTTTCCTCTGTAACTTTCTCACTCATCATTATTAACGATTCATTCAGGACTATCCATAATTTGGTAATGCCTCCTTCTAGCTTGTTTCTGCTCACAAGTTCAGGAGTGGCTGAAAAATCACAACATTCCCTTAAAACGAACCCTACAAATAGCACTGTTGGGCGATTTGCAAAGCCATAGTCAATAAATTAATATAATAATACTCTTAGCAAAAATATTCATCTTTCATTTATAATCTGTGGATACTATTAGAAATGTTCAGAATTCATGCAAGACATCCCAAATATAAAGCACATGGAAATCAAGAGGGTGGTCTGCGGAGATCGATGGGATTGGCTGAGATTAGCTGAGGGCTGGGATTAAAAGGTCATGATCTAAAATCGAAAACACCATATATCATGTATACCATATATGAGTACCTTTTAATGTGTATATCAAACTATATTTCTGTCATGTAATACTGTGTATAAAAGTATAATGTATGTCAAATGTATGAATAATGTATATAAAATAGCTGTAAAAAAACACAAATGTAAAATAATGTTACTTTAGTCCCCCGAAAAGCGTGGCTGGGCCAATAATAATAACAATAAATAAACACAAATGTAAACACGTGACCGCCTGCTTGACAACGTCTTAGCCAGTTGCGCCACCGAAAAGGTATCAATTCGACAGCGCAAGTGGAAACAGTTCAAGCTGGGGAGTGAGGTTACAGTTCCATTCAACTCTGTTACACGTGTCTGTGAAAGTAAGTGTATATGGGCTTTGCTCTGGATCTCAGTGATGTGTAGGTGTATGTACAGGTGCGTTCACACGCCGCTTAGCTTGAGGAGCGGCACAAAGAGGAGCCGTTGCTATGGTTACCCAAACAGGCAGAGCAGGGGGGGCCGGTGAGGAGCGGGAAACAGAGGAAGTTAGCGTGTTTCTGATTTCGGGTTCGGACAGGGCTTGAACGTCGGTCGCGGGTGCGGGTAAGGCTTAAATGTAATGCCCATGAAGGACTATACATAGAATGTAACATTGATTGTGTGTTGTGTTTGTCTGTTAGCCCAGGGTTTAGAAATGCTTGTGTGAATATGGGATAAGTCTTAGACTGGAGCAATGGGATAGCCCGGGGCTAAGAATCATTCTGTGTAAAAAGGCCTAATATGTATCTAAGAGAGAGAAAAAACACTTCCATTCACTTACGACAATCCGCCTCGTCTGACTTATCCTTGCAGTCCGGATCCCCGTCACATTTCCACGCCAGCCTCACACACTCCCCGTTGGCGCACCGAAACTCCTCCACCGTACAGTTCACCCTGCGTCGCGGTTGCGACCCTTCACCCCCACAACGCTCCGGCCACTCGTCAGAGCCGTCGGGGCAGTCGGGGTCGCCGTCACAGCTCCACATGACGGGTACGCACTCTGAGGTGTTGCAGCGGAACTCGTGCGGACCGCAGGTGGTCGTTGGCGAGTTGCGGGAGGAGCATTTTAGTTCGTCAGAGCCGTCGTCGCAGTCGTCATCGCCATCGCACACGTAGATGGGTGCCAGGCACTTGCGGTTGGCGCACTGGAATTTGCTTTTCGGGCAGGACTTGGCATCTAGGTGAGAAGAGGGGAGGGGGATAGGGAGAGAGAGGTCAGCTAGAGTGAGATAATCAACTGCTGATGGAGATATAAGACACACACCAAAACATAAATACCAAACACACACACACACACACACACACACACCTCCGCTCCATGGTAGATCTCCATCTCTCCATCTCTCTCACAGTCAAGTGTCAGACAATTACAGACATCCCATCGCTCCTACCATCTCTGGCTGTGTCCCAAATGACATCCTATTCCTTATGTAGTGCACTACTTTTAACCGGAGCCCTATGGGCCCTTGTCAAAAGTAGTGCAGTACATAGGGAAAACGGTGCCATTTGGGACACACATTTTCATCTCTGAAAACTCACTGAGAGCGGAGCTTTGATATTCATATAGACTACAGGGAGTTTCTCACTGCAGCTGCTGTCGCCCTGGGCTTACTCTTTGGGGGGTTTAGGTCTGGGCTATGTTCATTAGGGCCCATCGTAGCAAAACTCTGTGCAACAGAAAATGAAAACGAGCCATTCTTATTGAACAAGGTCAGAAAATACCTCCCTGTTTCACTTCAGTTTGGATAATTTTTTCCCGATTCGTGCCTAATGAACATGACTCTGGGTTGCTATCTTAAGCATTCTGTTATGTGTGACAAATGACAGGGTAAAAAACAAAACAGCATGCAAATAGAATGTCATTCGTTAAATTTAGGATCTTACTGACTCATTTCCACCCACAGAGTTGAAACAGTGTGTGTGTGTGTGTGTGTTTGTGTGTATGTGCGTGTGCCCGCCCACTGGTACATCTGTAAATCACCGTTGTTTCCACGTTATTGCAATGGTACACAACTGGTACATTGTATCAATGTCGATAACAAATTGGATCTCCAAGTCACCGACCTACAGCATTTTTTAAATCTAGCCTTTAACCAAGCTTTTAGAGGCATGGCTTCAACGTTTAGTTAACCCCACATTGAATGAATGTTGATTCACAACTGTATCTCAACCATTAACACTAGAACTGCTAAAGCAGTCATTTTGACTGCTCATTCATTTATTTATTTTATTACTCAGCCATTTTTTAAAGTCATGCCCCACTCCGTCCTTGACTTTTTCTAAATAAGTCTATATAACACATTGCCATTGTTAGTATCTTAATATCACAAACAGAACTGGAGTTATAACCAGTTTTAGGAGGGCATGTCATTATTTGAATGGTTTTTCCCCATTGCCCCTCCTTCTCCCGACAGTAGGGCCTGCTCCGCTCCTTCTCCCAACATTGGAAGGTGTAGTGGCCAGTTGATAATCACCCTAATAATTGCCTCGAAACTGAACCTAAACTATACCGAAACTAATTTCACACATGCAACAACAGATTAAATAAATTAAGTAAAGTATGATGGGAAAGGGAGAGAATGGGTGAGTTGATGAGCGAGGGGAAGCGAACAATGCATAATTATGTAATCACCAATTGTGAATGAAGAACAGAGGGCCATTCTATTGTATTGATCGATTCTAATCATAACCTCAAAATGATATGTACCCTATATCAGTCCACCAAATCCAAGCAGTCTTATCAGTCTACTCTGGCCTACTTGGAGTACACAGTGAGAGAGTCTGTAATGTACAATGGCAAGAAGACCAAGAGGAATGGATGCACATGCTGCGTTAGCGCTGCTACAAGATCTGAATGAAAACGACTCAGATGGTGGGGAAGAATCATGACATCTGATTATTCTTCTCATTCTGAGCCTCAGCCTGAACCTACACCTCTGAGGCCTAAGCGCAAAAAAAGCTAGAACGGTACGCACTGAGCAGGTGCCAGCGCAACCACCGAATGAAACGAGAGATAGGAGAAGAGGAAGGGTCGGCGCCGATTCGGAAAAGATCCACATCGGGCAGCAGGTGAGAAATGTCACCATGGACAATTTCTTCACTTCACTGTCATTGGCGAACAAGTACTGCAAAGAAAACAAGCCTAGTCGACACCATGAACAAAGTGAGATGGGAGCTTCCTCCGTCTGCGCAAAATGAGGCACCTGCACAGCTGTCGTACTCCACAACGGTGCTAAAGAACGACAAGACGACACAAACACTATACCAATGCAAGGCAAGAAAGTACGTTTCTGTCATGAGCACCACGCATCCGACAATTGCCATTGACAGGACAGAATAAAGAGAAAACCATATACTATTATGCACTACAACCAAACAAAGGTATGTCAATATTACATAATACGCATTGCCATATATAGGTAAACGTATGCAATGCATTATGCTCTTCTGTATAACACGTGTTGTTTTTCCTATGGGAAAAGAATCCTAATGTTTTCTACTATATTCTGTTCCATAGGTTGGGGAGGATGTTTTGGATCAGATGGCATGGCTGTACTCTGTGAAAGGAGACACCCGCTGCTGGCCTGTTGCTGTGTTCTACAACATGCCTGACTTGGGCTGCTATCAACGCAGTGCATCAACAACACCATGCCCAGGAGAGACGTCATCATGAGTCTGGCATACTGGCTACATGAGAGACATATGAGGGCCAAGGCAGCAGCAAAGATTCCATGCGAGCCAAATTGCGCATAGCTCCCAGGGAAAAGACAGTGACTGGTGGCCATCTGCACAAAGAACAGAACCCAAGACACCGGTGTCACCTGCAAGCGACGTGTTTGACAGCTAAATGAAATCCGACTGATGCCATTGTGTGAAAACAGACAATTTAAACACGAGCTGACAATAATTGACTATTTTTGACTGCTGTCATATTGACACTTATATTCATTATAATACCCTTACTGCTTTTGTGCTGATTTTCACTATTTATCAAGCACACTTGGCGCTTATGATGTTTGGGCTACTGTTTTCATCATTTGACCGTGCGTTTTGACAACCATGCGTCTTTGTGGTTGGGGTATTTTGTAAAAAATAAAAAACTTTATAAAAAAGAAGCTGTTACCGTGTACCAACACATATGCTTTCTGTTTCATAGTTGTAACAAAGGCAATATAATGTATTGACCAGTTGAATTGGTGTTTTTTGTGTTTTTACATATAGCCTACAGTAACAAACTAATGAAAACGCTATTTTGTTATTTGAAATAAAAGAAAAATGATATTCTAATGTTACCTAACACCTTCATGAACACAACCAAACGATTATTTTAGCGATAGCATATACGAAATGTATTAATGACACTGTTAGAATGTTGCAGTCAGAATGACTGCTCTTTAGCTTGAAGGGGCGTCCCTCGAGGCCCAGCGGTTCTAGTGTTAGACATTGAAATGACATCTGTGCCCATTGGGTTAAGTCTGGTTAAGGGCCTACAAAACCATTAGCGGAGGAGCATAAAACAGAAGAATAGGCAACTACTTTATTATGCATTTATAGACAACCTTAGTGATACTGGCAAGAGATTTCATCAGGTTATTCCCACAAGCCAACTCAGATGTGCGAGTGCAGTTTTTTTTCCTCGCGCATTTATTGACTGAAAATCATTACAGTACATTACGTGCTTTTCCAGAGTAGGCTTACCAGACCATACCAGTAGCTAAAGAAGAGAGAATCAAAGAGAGACTTATATTCTAATCCCCACTTATTATCAAGCTGAATGCTGTAAATTAGCCTCGTCTGGCAGAATGTTGGAGCAGAGCATCACGATCATCCTGCTTATTATACCCATATGTCCAATTCACCATTACACACACATACACACACGCGCAGATACACACCCGCACACACACCCACCCACCCACCCACCCACACTGCTTAATTAATTAATTTAGCTAAGGCCACAAATGAGGATTATCACATCCTAAACTATACCCGCTGCACCACTGATAGAAACAGAACATAAAATAATGTTTTTGGATTCGGCTGAGCTGTAGGCTTCATCTAATCTTCATCAATATTAAACCACAGTGTTCCATTTGAATCTGCCGTGTCTTATCAGTACAAACACACACGCGTGCGTGAGCACACACACACACACACAACCCACCATGCGCAACCTACCCCCACTTATCGACTAATCTGCAGTTAAATTATTAAGGAGACTCGATAAACATGCATGTTACACATGGGGAGGCCCATTAGTGAAATACATGAGCATTTCCTGCTACATCAGTAGAGACATTAATTTCAGTTGGGGCCTGTGGTAAAAGCATTTAAAGACTTCTGATAGACTTCACTTGGCTTTTGCCTACAGGCTCCGTGTAACTTTAATTCCTGTACATGTTCTTGACTTTGAAGGATGATGATCCAATCGGAACGTGACATCATCCCCAGCCAGCCAAACATGAAGGGCGTGGCTGTGGTGTGACACAGTTCTCTCTCTCTGATTGGACGAGGAGCCGCAGTGATGGGGGAGACGGTTGCCTCCATCCATCCATCCCCCTATCCCTACCCACATCAATCAATGTCACAAGGTTATGCGACGTTTGACTCTCACAGATAGTATTCATAGATACTACAACCCTAAGGACCATCGCCACACTATTATTCATAGAAATACTAACTCCCTAAGGACCATAGAGCACAGTGCTACCGTTCGAAGCCTCCATAGACCTTCTCTACAGGAAGGTCACGTTACATCCCCAATGGCAACCTATTTCCTTATGGGCCCTGTTCAAAACTAGTGCACTATATAGAGAATAGGATGCCATTTGCGACACACCCCACATCTCAGGCAGTTTAGACAGGCCGCCCTTCTCCACTGGGGAACGACTCAACAGATGACCTTTCTACTAATGCCACAGACACATTTACACAGCAAATAGTGTGATAATGGAGAGGGAGAAGAGGGGAGAGGAGGATGACAATGAAGGGGGAGATTGAGAGAGAAAGAGAGATAATAGACGAGAGGGGAGAGAGATAATACAAGAGAAAGAAGACAGGTGGGGGAGAGAAAGAGAGAGAGACAGAGAGAGAGAGAGTGAGAGACAGAGAGAGAGAGACAGAGACAGAGAGACAGAGAGAGAGAGAGAGAGAGAGAGAGAGAGAGAGAGAGAGAGAGAGAGAGAGAGAGAGAGAGAGAGAGAGAGAGAGAGAGAGTGAGAGACAGAGAGTGAGAGACAGAGAGTGAGAGACAGAGCGACAGAGAGAGAGAGAGAGAGAGAGAGAGAGAGAGAGAGAGAGAGACAGAGAGAGAGGATTTAGAATACATGAGAGGAAGAGAGAGGAAAGAGTGGAGGATTGTTTATTTCATAGTGATGTCAGTATTATTATGACCACATGTACAACTTGCTACCAGGAGTATGATGGATGGAGTGAGAGATAGAGGAGAGAGAAAGAGAGGAAATAGAGGGGGTTTTTCAGCCTCGTGATTTGTTGGGAGAGTCGTCTGTCTGAAGAGGACCCTCCCTGGAACAAGTCCGTCATAAATCCCACACCCTAATCACTGCTGTTGTCTGGGATTCGGAGACTATGTGACTGTGTACTGTAGGGTTGCAACAAAAAAAAACACGTTCCCAAAATTCCCCAGTTTCCCAGAAATCCTGGTTGATAAATTCCTGGTTCAAGATGGAATAAGCAGGAATTGGAACAAACTGTTAAAGTTACTAGAATTTTGCAACTGTACATTTATGTAACACGAAGTCAGATAAATTGGCTAAACTAACTCCTAGATACGATCTGGGACAATGCTAGAAGCAAACAGGATTGTTGAGATAAAAAAAGCATACTACATAAAAGGCAGAAAAGAGACATATCCCAGACATACTGTAGGTCCCTTATGACTGATCCCAGATCTGTTTGTGCTGTCTCGCCAAGTTCCAATGACCTTAGGAGTACAGCACGAACAGATCTGGGACCAGATATAAGGGAACTTGTAAAACTTAAATTGTATTTCGTTCCAGGAGCTTCACCAGTGGGACATACACTACATAACCAAAAAGGGGTCGTGGGAGAATTTCTCAAATCCTTATAAAAATAAATATATAGTCCCTTCAAATCAGACAGCCTGGCCCACCTGTGGTCACCTCAGACTCTTAGGTCAATATCAGCGACTGTTTGGGTGAAGAAATACTGAAAGCATCTCTTATCCCCGATATCCACGCGCGGTGGATACTGGTCGGGTGAGGTTGTGTTTCTCTAGCGGGAGGTAAGCTTGGCTTCTTATATAGTGTCGAGTAAAGCTTAAACCATGTATTTAGATTGTAGGTAGGTATTGTAGTTAGGTATTGTAGGTAGTTTATCTAGGTAGTTATTGTAGGTTATTGTAGGTCATTATTGTAGGTAAGTATTGTATTCGGCATGAGCCCGGTGAAGCACGAGGCTAGCTAGCTAGCGGGTAGCTACTGGTAACTATTAGCAACTGTGGATAGTTGTTTCCAATGTTATTTCCCGCGTAAGATTCCCTGTAATTATGCCAGCTACCTACCTACCATTCAGCTGTTTTTCTAACCACATTATCTGAAGCGTTAACGTTAGGTAGTTAGTAGCTACTGTACTCGAAATGTAGCTAGCTTGTTGCTACCTGGATAGCTAACTAAACAATAGCTGGAACGACCTAGCTATAATATTTGGAGATGCTTTCTCTCCGTTGGGACAGACTTTGCACTTAACTGGCTAACAGTAGCTACTAAGGGTAAGTTATAACCTACATTTATTTTTGTTTTTACATGCTGGTAACCAGAGTCGTTCAAGGGAATTCGGGACATGGGTGACTAGTTAACGTTAGCTTGGCTCTCTCTGTGTGTTTCGTGCCGTGGGAGGAGGGGTTGGTTCGTTGGCAGAGAGCAATGGCTAGCTAGTATGCTAACTATTCTAGCTAACTAACTGGCTGAATAAGTTGACAACGTACTCACTCAAACTGTCAAAACTAACCCAAAACTTTACACAACGTTAGACACGGACACGAATGATCTGTTTGGCGTGTTAACACACTGGTGGTTTGTTGTAACCGAGTATTGGTGCTAAACCGTGTTATTGGAGGCTGGCATGCTAGTTGGCTATGGCGTCATAGGATTCGGTGCCCTGGACGGTTTTCACAGAAGAATACTGTACCAAGTTAGCTAGCTGAATAAACTAAGTTAGAGTCTATTCCTAGAAAACATTGAACCACTGTAGTTAACAACAATTATAATTTCTAAAGTGGAAGTTGGGAGAGTTATATTTGAGTGTTTCAGTGAAACGTAAGTGAGGGAGGCCCTGCTCTCTCGCTTTCCCAGTTTAGTTCATTTCATTCCGATCTCCTTTGCATTATTGTAGCCGTTTTCTGTAGCCTGTCAACTATGTGTCTGTCTATCACTGTTCTCTCCTCTCTGCACAGGCCATACAAACGCTTCACACCGCGTGGCTGCTGCCACTCTAATCTGGTGGTCCCTGCGCGCACGACCCACGTGGAGTTCCAGGTCTCCGGCAGCCTCTGGAACTGCCATTCTGCAGCCAACAAGGCAGAGTTCATCTCAGCCTATGCTACCCTCCAGTCCCTCGACTTTTTGCCGCTGACGGAAACATGGATTACCACAGAAAACACTGCTACTCCTACTGCTCTACTGGTCAGCGCGGCGGTGGCACAGGAATCCTCATCTCTCCCAAGTGGACATTCTCTCTTTTTCCCCTGACCATTTTGTCTATCTCCTCATTTGAATTCCATGCTGTCACTGTCACTAGCCCATTCAAGCTTAACATCCTTGTCATTTATCGCCCTCCAGGTTCCCTTGGAGAGATCATCAATGAGCTTGACGCCTTGATAAGTTCCTTTCCTGAGGATGGCTCACCCCTCACAGTTCTGGGTGACTTTAACCTCCCTATGTCTGCCTTTGACTCATTTCTCTCTGCCTCCTTCTTTCCACTCCTTTCCTCTTTTGACCTCACCCTCTCACCGTCCCCCCACTACTCACAAGGCAGGCAATACGCTTGACCTCATCTTTACTAGATGCTGTTCTTCTACTAATCTCACTGCAACTCCCCTCCAAGTCTCCGACCACTACTTTGTATCCTTTTCTCTCTCGCTCTCCTCCAACACTACTCACTCTGCCCCTACTCAGATGGTAATGTGCCGTCGCAACCTTCGCTCTCTCTCTCCCGCTACTCTCTCCTCTTCCATCCTATCATCTCTTCCCTCTGCTAAATCCTTCTCCCTCCGATCTCCTGATTCTGCCTCCTCAACCCTCCTCTCCTCCCTTTCTGCATCTTTTGACTCTCTATGTCCCCTATCCTCCCGGCCGGCTCGGTCCTCCCCTCCTGCTCCGTGGCTTGACCACTCATTGCGAGCTCACAGAAGAGGGCTCCGGGCAGCCGAGCGGAAATGGAGGAAAACTAGACTCCCTGCGGACCTGTCATCTTTTCACTCCCTCCTCTCTACATTCTCTTCCTCTGTTTCTGCTGCTAAAGCCACTTTCTACCACTCTAAATTTCAAGCCTCTGCCTCTAACCCTAGGAAGCTCTTTGCCACCTTCTCCTCCCTGCTGAATCCTCCTCCTCCTCCCCTTCCCTCCTCCCTCTCTGTGGATGACTTGGTCAACCATTTTGAAAAGAAGGTTGACGACATCCGATCCTCATTTATTAAGTCAAATGACACCGCTGGTCCTCCTCACACTGCCCTACCCTATGCTTTGACTTCTTTCTCCCCTCTCTCTCCAGATGAAATCTTGCGACTTGTGACAGCCGGCCGCCCAACAACCTGCCCGCTTGACCCTATCCCCTCCTCTCTTCTCCAGACCATTTCCGGAGACCTTCTCCCTTACCTCACCTCACTCATCAACTCATCCTTGACCGCTGGCCATGTCCCTTCCGTCTTCAAGAGAGCGAGAGTTGCACCCCTCCTCAAAAATCCTACACTCGATCCCTCCGATGTCAACAACTACAGACCAGTATCCCTTCTTTCTTTTCTCTCCAAAACTCTTGAGTGTGCCGTCTCTAGCCAACTCTCCTGCTATCTCTCTCAGAATGACCTTCTTGATCCAAACCAGTCAGGTTTCAAGACTGGTCATTCAACTGAGACTGCTCTTCTCTGTGTCACGGAGGCTCTCCGCACTGCTAAAGCTAACTCTCTCTCCTCTGCTTTTATCCTTCTAGACCTATCCGCTGCCTTTGATACTGTGAACCATCAGATCCTCCTCTCCACCCTCTACGTGTTGGGCATCTTCGGCGCTGCTCACTCTTGGATTGCGTCCTACCTGACAGATCGCTCCTACCAGGTGGCGTGGCAAGAATCTGTCTCCGCACCACGTGCTCTCACCACTGGTGTCCCCCAGGGCTCAGTTCTAGGCCCTCTCCTATTCTCTCCATACACCAAGTCACTTGGCTCTGTCATATCCTCACATGGTCTCTCCTATCATTGCTACGCAGACGACACACAATTCATTTTCTCCTTTCCTCCTTCTGATAACCAGGTGGCGAATCGTATCTCTGCATGTCTGGCAGACATATCAGTGTGGATGTCGGATCACCACCTCAAGCTGAACCTCGGCAAGACAGAGCTGCTCTTCCTCCTGGGGAAGGACTGCTCGCTCCATGATCTCGCCATCACGGTTGACAAATCCATTGTGTCCTCCTCCCAGAGTGCTAAGAACCTTGGTGTGACCCTGGACAACACCCTGTCGTTCTCTGCTAACATCAAAGCGGTGACCCGATCCTGCAGGTTCATGCTCTACAACATTCGCAGAGTACGACCCTACCTTACACAGAAAGTGGCAAAGGTCCTAATCCAGGCACTTGTCATCTCCCGTCTGGATTACTGCAACTCGCTGCTGGCTGGGCTCCCTGCCTGTGCCATTAAACCCCTACAACTTATCCAGAACGTGCAGCCCGTCTGGTGTTCAACCTTCCCAAGTTCTCTCATGTCACCCCGCTCCTCTGCACACTCCACTGGCTTCCAGTTGAGGCTTGCATCTACAACAAGACCATGGTGCTTGCCTACGGAGCTGTGAGGGGAACGGCACCTCCTTACCTTCAGGCTCTGATCAGACCCTACACCCAATCAATCAATCGAACGCTGCTGGCACCCGCCCACCCGAATAGAATCACTACTCTCGATGGGTATGACCTAGAGTATGTGGACAACTACAAATACCTAGGTGTCTGGTTAGACTGTAAACTCTCCTTCCAGACTCACATTGAGCATCTCCAATCCAAAGTTAAATCTAGAATCGGCTTCCTATTTCGCAACAAAGCCTCCTTCACTCATGCTGCCAAACATGCCCTCGTAAAACTGACTAATCCTACGATCCTTGACTTCGGCGATGTCATTTACAAAATAGCCTCCAACACTCTACTCAGCAAATTGGATGTAGTCTATTACAGTGCTGTCACGATCGTCTACGAGAGAGGACCAATGCGCAGCGTTGAAGGTGAACATAATATATATTTATTAACTGATCACACGATCAAAACAATAACCAACGATGCATGACGTCTAAGGTTACAACACGAACAAACCTTAACGGAACAAGAAACCACAACACAAAGTGAAAAGACCGATAGTTAAATATGGCTCCCAATCAGAGACAACCAGCTGACACTCGTTGCCTCTGATTGGGAGTCACTCAGGCCCACATAGATATACAAACATAGACTTACATACCCTGGCTCAACATAACATAGTCCCCAGAGCCAGGGCGTGACAAGTGCCATCCGTTTTGTCACCAAAGCCCCATATACTACCCACCACTGTGACCTGTACGCTCTTGTTGGCTGGTCCTCACTACATATTCGTCGCCAAACCCACTGGCTCCAGGCCATCTATAAATCACTGCTTGGCAAATCCCCGCCTTATCTTAGCTCATTGGTCACCATAGCAACACCCACCCGTAGTATGCGCTCCAGCAGGTATATCTCACTGGTCATCCCCAAAGCCAACACCTCCTTTGGCTGCCATTCCTTCCAGTTCTCTGATGCCAATGACTGGAACGAATTGCAAAAATCTCTGAAGCTGGAGACTCTTATCTCCCTCACTAACTTTAAGCATCAGTTGTCAGAGCACCTTACCGATCACTGCACCTGTACACAGCCCATCTGAAATTAGCCCACCCAACTACCTCATCCCCATATTGTTATTTATTTTCCTCATTTGCACCCCAGTATCTCTATTTGCACATCATCTCTTGCACATCTATCATTCCAGTGTTAATACTAATTGTAATTGTTTTGCACTATGGCCTATTTATTGCCTTATCTCCATAACTTGCTACATTTGCACACATTGTATATATATTTTCTGTTGTATTTTTGACTTTATGTTTTGTTTTACCCCATATGTAACTCTGTGTTGTTGTTTTTATCGCACTGCTTTGCTTTATCTTGGCCAGGTCGCAGTTGTAAATGAGAACTTGTTCTCAACTGGCTTACCTGGTTAAATAAAGGTGAAAAAAAAAATGAAAAAAAAAAACGAGGGCACTACGTTCATCCACCTCTGGCCTGCTAGCTCCCCTACCTCTACGGAAGCACAGTTCCCGCTCAGCCCAGTCAAAGCTATTCGCTGCTCTGTCACCCCAATGGTGGAACAAGCTCCCCCACGACGCCAGGACAGCGGAGTAACTGACCACCTTCCGGAGACACTTGAAACCCAACCTCTTTAAGGAATACCTGTTATAGTATAAAGTAATCCTTCTTCCCCCACCCCCCCATAAAAAAAAGAAGAAAAAAAGTGGTTGTCCCACTGGCTATCATAAGTTGAATGCACCAATTTGTTGTAAGTCGCTCTGGATAAGAGCGTCTGCTAAATTACGTAAATGTAAATATATAAAAAAAATATATACAGTAGATACACTACATGACCAAAAGTATGTGGATACCTGCTCGTTGAACATCTCATTCCAAAATCATGGGCATTCATATGGATGGAATATGGCATTGTCATACTGAAACAGGAAAGGGCCTTCCCCAAACTGTTGCCACAAATTTGGAAGCACAGAATCGTCTAGAATGTAATTGTATGCTGTAGCGTTAAGATTTCCCTTCAATTGAACTAAGGGCCCTAGGCCAAACCATGAAAAACAGCCCCAAACCAAACTTTACAGTTGGCACTATGCATTGTGCTGGGTAGCGTTCTCCTGGCATCCGCCAAACCCAGATGGTGAAGCGTGATTCATCACTTGTGGCAAGCTTTACACCACTCCAGCCGACGCTTGGCATTGCGCATGGTGATCTTAGGCTTGTGTGCAGCTGCTCGGTCATGGAAACCCATTTCATGAAGCTCTCGACGAACAGTTCTTGTGCTGACGTTGCTTCCACAGGCAGTTTGGAACTCGGTAGTGAGTGTTGCAACCGAGGACAGGCGATTTTTATGCACTACGTGCTTCAGCACTCGGCGGTCTCGTTCTGTGAGCTTGTGTGGCCTACCACGTTGCGGCTGAGCCGTTGTTGCTCCTAGATGTTTCCACATCACAATAACAGCACTTACAGTTGACCATGGCAGCTCTAGCAGGGAAAAAAGAAAAGAAAAAAAAAAGTGACTTGTTGGAAAGGTGGCATCCTATGATGGTGCCATGTTGAATGTCACTGCGCTTTTCAGTAGGGGCCATTCTACTGCCAATGTTTGTCTATGGATATTGCAAGGCTGTGTGCTTGATTTTATACACCTGTCAGAAACGGGTGTGGATGAAATAGCCGAATCCACTAATTTGAAGGGGTGTCCACAAACTTCTGTATATATAGTGTAGAGTCTGATGGTTAAATTTCACCATAGGGACATATTAGACTCGTAAGTGCATCTGACGCTATCTTAGCTAGTAAAACATGTATAAACTGCACAAACAAACAGATACACTCCCCTACGTGTTTATTTGGACAGTGAAGCTAATTTTTTTAATTTGGCTCTATATATTTTTTGATTTGTGATCAAATGTTTACATGATAGCACAGAATGTCACCTTTTATTTAAGGGTATTTTCATACATATGTTTTACTGTTTAAAAATGAAAGCACTTCATAGTCCCCCCATTTGAAGGTGCCATAAGTATTTGGACAAATTCACTTATGGTTTATTACATTTTGTCAAACATTGCGTATTTGGTCCCATATTCCTAGCACGCAATGACTACATCAAGCTTAAAAGTGACTCCAAAATAACAATACATGATTTACCATTCATTCTATTGGGCACAACATAATTCGAAACACAACCAAAACAAATTGCAAATGCATCCAACAGGTTTGCAGAGTCACACGCCTGATGTAGTCATTGCGTGCTAGGAATATGGGACCAAATACTAAACCTTTGACTAAATTGAATACACTATAAGTTAATTTGTCCAAATACTTATGACACCTTCCAATGGGGGGACTAGATGCATAAAGTGCCTTAATTTCTAAACTGTAAAACAGATATGTATGAAAATACCATTAAAGAAAAGGTGATATTCTGTACTGTCGCATTTAGGATTGGGACGATATACAGTATGATTAAATCGAATATCATGATATTTGACATTGGCGATATATCGTGAAGTGCCAGACAATATATCAAGATGTGTACCCCTGTAGCTCAGTTGGTAGAGCATGGCGCTTGCAATGCCAGGGTTGTGGGTTCGTTTCCCACGGGGGGCCAGTATGAAAAATGTATGCACTCACTAACTGTAAGTCGCTCTGGATAAGAGCGTCTGCTAAATGACTAAAATATAAAATGTAAAATGTAAATGTGCAAAACTATGTAGAATATTGGCCTGTTGGAACCTACAACTCCCTACTCCATCGCACAGTTAATTATTTAACTCTAGAGAAACTGTGTAATGTGCGCATTGAGCTCACAGAAAAACAAAAAACAAAATGGTCAGTTAGTTGTTTAAAACCTAAAAAATTACAGACATTTCGGTTAATTGCTTGTCACTATGTCATACACACTCCCCTACTCCCCTACTCTAGTACCCAGAGATCCCATGCGACAGGTGTGTTCCTTGCTCCTGAGAGGACCTCAGAGCCTGTGTGTTTGAGTACAGTGCTGCACATTTACATTACTACAGATGACTGGAGAGAGGAGCTCAACTTTCTCTTTAGGGGACTGCTGCCTGCTTAATGTAATGTTAATCAGACAGAGGGAGAGAGAGAAAGAGAGAGAAAGAGAGAGAGAGAGAGAGGGAAAGAGAGAGTGAAAGAGAGAGGGAGAGAGAGAGAGAGAGAGAGAGAGAGAGAGAGAGAGAGAGAGAGAGAGAGAGAGAGAGAGAGATATATGGAGGGCAGGATTCGACTTAATGCATAATTCAACATGTGGATGACTCAATTAGCGAAACTCCTTGACGCAATTTACTTTTTTAGGCTGCCTGGATGGAGTGCAGAGAGTTTTGCTAGGATTGGGACGGCTTCCAAGAAGGAGCACAACTGTCTCTAGGGTCCCAAGGCTCCAGACTCTGGCATGGAGGGCAAGGTTGTTGGAAGGTGTATGTTTATGTATGTGTGTGCATACTATTGTAGTTATCTCTAAGCAGGATTAAACCATAGCCTGCCCACTGTGAGACATGTATTTTGGGGCCATGCTCGGTAAAGTAAACTCAAGTAAAACAAAACAAGCTTATGTTTATACTATTACAAATATATATACTTACTGACCATGTGTCACCCAGAAAAAACTCCTAGAGTGTGTTTGTGTGTATGCTGCTTGTGTATCTGTGTGTGTGTGTGTGTGTGTGTGTGTGTGTGTGTGTGTGTGTGTGTAAAAGACAGACTTAAAAAATAGACATTATTTGCGTTTTGAATCTATCACAGTTTGATCCTGTATCTTTCCAAAACAGTTGAGCGTCTCTGACCAACTCTCTCGTTATCTCTCTCAGAACGATCTTCTTGACCCTAACCAGTCAGGCTTCAAGACGGGTCACTCAACCGAGACCGCTCTCCTCTGTGTCACGGAGGCTCTCCACACTGCCAAAGCTGACTCTCTCTTCTCTGTTCTCATCCTCCTAGATCTATCTGCTGCCTTCAACACCGTGAACCATCAGATCCTCCTCTCCACCCTCTCAGGGCTGGGCGTCTCAGGCTCTGCACACTCTTGGATTGCATCCTACCTGACAGGCCGTTCCTACCAGGTGACGTGGAAAGGATCTGTGTCTACACCACATGCTCTCGTTACTGGTGTTCCCCAGGGCTCTGTTCTAGGCCCTCTCCTTTTCTCTTTATACACCAAGTCACTCTGCTCCGTCATGTCCTCACATGGTCTCTCCTATCATTGATATACGGATGACACTCAACTACTTTTCTCCTTCCCCCTTCTGACACCCAGGTGGCGACACGCATCTCTGAGAACTCCACGGTATCCCCCTCCCAGAGAGCAAAGAACCTTGGCTTGACCCTGGACAACAGCCTGTCATTGTCTGCAAACATCAAAGCTGTTGCAGGTTCATGCTCTACAACATCCGTAGAGTATGACCCTACCTCACACCGGAAGCGGCGCAGGTCCTAATCCAGGCACTTTTCATCTCCCGTCTGGACTACTGCAACTCTCTGTTGGTTGGGCTCCCCGCTTGTGCCATCAAACCCCTGCAACTTATCCAGAACGTCGCAGCTCGCCTGGTGTTCAACCTTCCCAAGTTCTCCCATGTCACCCCACTCCTCCGCACACTCCACTGGCTTCCAGTTGAAGCTCGCATCCACTACAACACCATGATGCTTGCCTACATAGCAGCAAGGGGAACTGCCCTGCCCTACCTTCAGGCTATGCTTAAACCCTACACCCCAACCCGAGCACTCCATTCTGTCACCTCTGGTCGCTTGGCCAGCTCACCCCTACGGGGAGTCAAGCGCTCGCTCAGCCCAGTCAAAGCTCTTCTCTGTCCTGGCACCCTAATGGTGGAACGAGCTTCCAAAAACAACTAAAAACCTACCTCTTCAAAGAGTATCTTAAATAAGACATCTAAATCTTATTCCCGACCCCCATAAAAAAAAAAAAAAAATTGCACTTGTCTTTTTCTACTAGCACTGACTTTGCTGATAACTTCCGTTTTGAAGAAAGATGTACTTAATATGACTGATATTTGGTTGTCTCACCTAGCTATCGTAAGATGAATGCACTTACTGAATGTCACTTTGGATAAAAGGGTCTGCTAAATGACTAAAATGTAATGTAAATGTAATGTAAAATGTAACATTGACTCTGCACCGGTACCCCCCTGTATATAGCCTCCCTACTGTTATTTTTATTTTACTGCTGCTCTTTAGTTATTTGCTTTAATTTTTTTTACTTAACACACAAAAAAAAAAAATGCATTGTTGGTTAAGGGCTTGTAAGTAAGCATTTCACTGTAAAGTCTACACCTGTTGTATTCGGCGCATGTGGCAAATAACATTTGATCTAGCTGCTAACTGGCTGGCTGCGGGGGATGGCAGAATTTAAGGGCATGTATTATTATGTGCCAGTCATTGTCAATGCACCTTAATGCACCTTCTCCTGGAGAATACCAACACACAGATAGTGTGTTACAACTCCTTTGAAGTCAATTCTCCTGCCGCCTCTCTGAATGGCGAGTCAATCTAATTCAATTCAATTAAAACTTTATTGTCAGCCAGATGGAGTTGCATTATCAGAGCTGCCGGGGGTAAATCCATCCATTTAGCATCCCTCCAGGCACACACACACGTTTGTTTTACTATCCTTGTGGGGACCAAACAATTGATTCCTATTCAAAATCCTATTTTCCCTTACCCCTTACCCTAACTCCTAACCCTAAGCTTAAAATAATGTTCCCTGTTTTACTATCCTTGTGAGGGGTTTTGGTCCCAACAACGAAAAAATAAAATAAAAAACACAATTAAAGATATGAGGCCCTCGGACTTATTTAATTAGAGCTTTATAGCACAGTACGTCTACGACTGATGCAGGCAGGCAATCAATGATCATCTACCGCAGACCAGGTGCGTTGTCACTGTGGTGGTGGTATCATCATCTCCAGAATCATAAGGTTTTCCTGACCATGTGGTCAGTTCAACATTGGAAGAACTTGGTCAGGAAAACTCAGGACCTTACAGTATTATACCACTGCAGTAACGGTAGAAATGATGCCTATTATTAAATCGAAGATCTAGCATCAGATTACCCGACCAGTAAATCTCCCAGGCCTAATATTACTGCATCCATATTCTGAAGTCCTTCCGTACTCAGTCCTCAGACGAAACTTGACTGCCAAGACTGAGAGGGACTTTTGTCTGAAAACTGACAACTGAGGGATTTTTGACAATAGAGTGAGATCCGTCTGACAACTGAGGGAAATCCTAATATGGATGCCATACTATATACTCTACAAGCCCAGCAGTGTTTGAGCTCTAGGGGATTTCCTAATATTGATACCATACCACATACTCTACAAGCCCAGTAGTGTTTCAGCTCCAAGGGAGGCAGTGGCCCCTGGCCTGAAGTCATCAGTGAGAAGCTTAGTCTGGAGGGGTCAATGGAGAATTTAGAATGAGAAAGGGATTAGAGCAGACTAGAAGGGCTTTCAATGGACCCGGGCTGACTACAGCTAAAACCCCTGACAAGTTAAGAAGGTATTACAGCGAAAGTCAATGGCCTCTCTTACTTGCCATTTTCAGTCAACCTTTAGCTCCTTTAACCAAAGCAGTGTTATGGGCAAAGTGGCATAGATGTATTTTACACAGACCTTGGTTCAAATACGGTTTAATTTAGCTTGATTGAGCTTGCCTGGCGCAATGGGACCAGTAGAATAGATGCAAAAGCACAAACCATGCCCATCTGGCTAAATAAAAAAAAGATTTCAAATAGTATTTGAACCCAGGTCTATTTTTGAATTTTCTATGATGTACTGTAGTAAATGCATGCTCACAGACCATATCTGAGATGAGTAAATAGTTGTTTTGATTTCCAATTTGATTAAATATAAATCGAGTGAATGCGGTGGCCGTGATAAGAACCTACAGAAACACATACACAAAAAACCCTGGGGACCCAAATGATAACATGAAAACATACAGCATCTTTTCCTCCCTCTCTCTGCTCTTTCCCTCATCTGAGGAAAATAAAACAGGGTTTCTCCAAGTGTAGCTTCATGCGTGCGTGCCACGGCGGCACACAATCTTCAAAGTCCAAACATTCAGCCTCCTGCGGTGTTTTCGCTTCAATCAATTTCTCAGGGAGAGAAGCAAGCACGAGAGAAAAGGAGAAGTCGATTCTTCACGCTGCCGTGTAAAGTAGGGCAGGAGTGTAGTCACGGCGGGTGGTGTGTATGAGTGTGCGGAGACGGACCAGGGTGGCACGTCATTAGGTAAAGAGGAGGGTGATGCCATCATCCATTGTTGATGGATTGGAGCTTGCACCATGCAAAGCTGGGTCAGGTTGAAGTGGTGGCTCTCGCTATCACTATGGTTGTGATAAGTCGTGGAAGATACCAAAAGCTTTCGCCGGCCGCCAATTGCAAATTCTACACGCACAGATTATCACATTTGATATGATATTGAATTGCAACCTTTGATTTGTGCATCAAAGTCTATGTATTTTCTCAGTGGAGCTGATTTATTCATTAGACCCCGTTTCCATCGATATGGGATGCATCCCAAATGGCACTCTATTGCCTACATAGTGCACTACTTTTGACAGGCTCTGGCCAAAAGTAGTGCACTATGTAAGGAATAGGGTGCCATTTGTGTTGCCCGAAAATCTAAAGTGCTGCATACCGAGCTGTCATGTCCTCCGTCGTCAGAAGATAAGCATATGGAGAAAATAAACACCCAAAAGCCATATATGGAGGAAATAGGGATCTTTAATTTAAAAAAATGCTCTATTCCTCTCTTTGACTGCGAACACTTTAATGTCACACAGTAGTGGGCCTATTTAAAGTTATATAGAATTGTAACATGGCGACAATTGTTCAAACACAATTCTATGACAAGGGTACTGCTGTAGAATGGCTCAGTCAGGTTCTGTCACGACTTCCGCCGAGGCTGCCTCCCCTCCTTGTTCGGGCAGACTTCGGCGTTCGTCGTCACCGGCTTACTAGCCACTGCCGCTCCATATATCATCATTCCATTTGTCTTGTCTTGTCTATTACACACACCTGGTTCATATCCCCTCAGTAGTCCGTGTATAAGTGTTCCCTCTGGCCCCCTGTCCTTGTGGGTGATTGTTTTATGTTAGTTGAGTGTAGCTCGGTGGAGCTACTCGTACCTTGTATTGCCGGGGTAGATTGTTCCCCTGTGCCTGCATTTTGTTGTCGCTATCCAGCGCAACTGTGTACGACGGAATAAACTCTGTATTCGGTGATTTACCCTCCTGCGCCTGACTCCTTCTTATCACACTCATCACAGGTTCAGTCAGTACTGAATTTAAAATGGATTAAATTGAGATTTCTTTGTCACTGGCCTACACACAATACCCCATAATGTCAAAGTGGAATTATGTTTTGCGAAATGTTTACAAATTAATAAAAAATGAAAAGCTGTAATGTCTTGAGTTAAGAAGTATTCAACCCCATTGTTTTGGCAAGCCTAAATAAGTTGTAAATTCAGGAGTTAAAATGTGCTTAACATGTCACATAATAAGTTGCAATAATAGTGTTTAACATGATTTTTGAATGACTACCCCATCTCTGTACCCCACACATACAATTAGCTGTAAGGTACTTCAGTCGAGCAGTGAATTTCAAACACAGATTCAACCACAAAGACCAGGGAGGTTTTCCAATGCCTCACAAAGAAGGGCACCTATTGCTAGATGTAAAAAAAAAAAAAAAAAAAGCAGACATTGAATATCCCTTTTTGAGCATGGTGAAGTTATTAATTAAACTTTGGATGGTGTATCAATAAACCCAGTCACTACAAAGATACAGGCATCCTTCCTAACTCAGATGCCGGAGAGGAAGGAAAACGCTCAGGGATTTCACCATGAGGCCAATTGTGACTTTAAAACAGTTACAAAGTTTAATGGCTTTGATAGGAGAAAACTGAGGTTGGATCAACAACATTGTAGTTAATCCACAATAATAACCTAATTGACAGAGTTAAAAGAAGGAAGCCTGTACAGAATAAAAATATTCCAAAACATGCATCCTGTTTACAACAAGGCACTAAAGTAATACAGAATTTTTTTTTGGCAAAGCTATTCACTTTTTGTCCTTAATACAAACAAAGTGTTATGTTTGGGGAAAATCCAATACAACACATTACTGAGTACCACTCCCCATATTTTCAAGCATAGTAGTGTCTGCATCACGTTATGAGTCTGATTGTAATCGTTAAGGACTGGGGAGTTTTTCAGGATAAAAAATAAACAGAATGGAGCTAAGCACAGGCAAAATCCTAGAGGAAAACCTGGTTCAGTCTGCTTTCCACCAGACACAGGACAATAAACTATAACTTAAGGCCAAATATACACTGGAGTTGCTTACCAAGAAGACAGTGAATGTTCCTGAGTGACCGAGTTACAGTTTTGACTTAAATCTGCTTGAAAATCTATGGCAAGACTTGAAAATGGTTGTCTAGCAATGATCAACAGCCAAGCATAATGGGCAAATATGGTACAATATTCTTTGACATTACAGAGTATTTTGTGTAGATCATTGACAAAAAATGACAATTAAATCCATTTTAATACCATTTTACATGTGGAAAAAGTCAAAGAGTGTGAATACTTTCTGAAGGCACTGCATCTTTTCAATAACAAAAAATATCATTTTTACAGCTGTTTGAAGCTGGTAATTCCCTACACTATTCAGTGCTTGTTTTCTCACAAACTGAAATTGAGCAAAAAGTTGAATTTTAGCAACCAGGAAATTAGCAATTTCCACTAGATAACACAGCCACAAAGTCAGAACAGCCAACCGAGAAATCAATAGGAGAATATCACAGCCAATCACTGGCGGGTAAGTAATACTGTGAAACACTATAATTCCACTATTAACGCCAGATCCAGTGGGGAAAAAAGTATTTAGTCAGCCACCAATTGTGCAAGTTCTCCCACTTAAAAAGATGAGAGTGGCCTGTAATTTTCATCATAGGTACACGTCAACTATGACAAACAAAATGAGAAAAAAAATTCCAGAAAATCACATTGTAGGATTTTTAATGAATTTATTTGCAAATTATGGTGGAAAATAAGTATTTGGTCAATAACAAAAGTTTCTCAATCCTTTGTTATATACCCTTTGTTGGCAATGACACAGGTCAAACGTTTTCTGTAAGTCTTCACAAGGTTTTCACACACTGTTGCTGGTATTTTGGCCCATTCCTTCATGCAGATCTCCTCTAGAGCAGTGATGTTTTGGGGCTGTCGCTGGGCAACACAGACTTTCAACTCCCTCCAAAGATTTTCTATGGGGTTGAGATCTGGAGACTGGCTAGGCCACTCCAGGACCTTGAAATGCTTCTTACGAAGCCACTCCTTCATTGCCCGGGCGGTGTGTTTGGGATCATTGTCATGCTGAAAGACCCAGCCACGTTTCATCTTCAATGCCCTTGCTGATGGAAGGAGGTTTTCACTCAAAATCTCACGATACATGGCCCCATTCATTCTTTCCTTTACACAGATCAGTCGTCCTGGTCCCTTTGCAGAAAAACAGCCCCAAAGCATGATGTTTCCACCCCCATGCTTCACAGTAGGTATGGTGTTCTTTGGATGCAACTCAGCATTCTTTGTCCTCCAAACACGACGTGTTGAGTTTTTACCAAAAAGTTATATTTTGGTTTCATCTGACCATATTACATTCTCCTCTTCTGGATCATCCAAATGCACTCTAGCAAACTTCAGACGGGCCTGGACATGTACTGGCTTAAGCAGGGGGACACGTCTCGCACTGCAGGATTTGAGTCCCTGGCGGCGTAGTGTGTTACTGATGGTAGGCTTTGTTACTTTGGTCCCAGCTCTCTGCAGGTCATTCACTAGGTCCCCTTGTGTGGTTCTGGGATTTTTGCTCACCGTTCTTGTGATCATTTTGACCCCACGGGGTGAGATCTTGCGTGGAGCCCCAGATCGAGGGAGATTATCAGTGTTCTTATATGTCTTCCATTTCCTAATAATTGCTCCCACAGTTGATTTCTTCAAACCAAGCTGCTTACCTATTGCAGATTCAGTCTTCCCAGCCTGGTGCAGGTCTACAATTTTGTTTCTGGTGTCCTTTGACAGCTCTTTGGTCTTGGCCATTGTGGAGTTTGGAGTGTGACTGTTTGAGGTTGTGGACAGGTGTCTTTTATACTGATAAGTTCAAACAGGTGCCATTAATACAGGTAACGAGTGGAGGACAGAGGAGCCTCTTAAAGAAGAAGTTACAGGTCTGTGAGAGCCAGAAAATCTCCCCCCAAAAAGGTAACAAACAGCCTCAATTCGTCGGGGCATGGACTCTACAAGGTGTCGAAAGTGTTCCACAGGGATGTTGGCCCATGATGACTCCAATGCTTCCCACAGTTGTGTCAAGTTGGCTGAATGTCTTTTGGATGGTGGACCATTCTTGATACACACAATAAACTATTGAGCGTGAAAATCCCAGCAGAATTGCAGTTCTTGACACATTCAAACCCGTGAGCCTGGCACCTACTACCATACCCGTTAACCTGGTTAGTCTATGTCATGGAAAGAGCACACATACACAATCCATGTCTCAAAGCTTAAAAATCCGCCTTTAACTGTCTCCTCCCCTTCATCTACACTGACTGAAGTGGATTTAACAAGTTACATCAATAAGGGATCATAGCGGGCCTACCGACTGGCGCAGCGGTCTAAGGCACTACAGACCCGGGTTCGATCCCAGGCTGTGTCACAACCGGCCGTGACCGGGAGTCCCATAGGGCGGCGCACAATTGGCCCAGTGCTGTCCGGGTTAGGGGAGTTAAAAAAATTAATAATAATAAGGGATCATAGCTATAGCTTTCACCTGGTCAGTCAATGTCAGTGACATTTTCAGAAATTACAATGCAAAAAAAAACTGTGTTGCACCTTTAAATTATTTTTACATTTTGGACCATATTTTCAGGTATGCTATTAGCAATAATCATTAACACCTGTAGCCCAATTAATGCAGCATGGTGGCTATAAATAAATAGGCTGAAGCATGGGGTTGGCTATCTGCATTTAACCTATTGGGCTAATCATCAGCCAGATCCCAAATGTGATCTTTTAACTATTGTAGTTTGCATCCTATTGATGAATTTTATGTCCCAATAAACTTGCATATACACAGTGAATATAATGTAGACCTACCAGTTCGGGTAGCTTGGGGTAACCTACTACCCGGGGTAACACACCACTGCCTGTACTTCTCATAGAAACAACTTCATGTCAAAATGTTGCCCCCCAAAAACTTTCTCTGGTTCCCTTACTCTTGCTCAACAAAAAATTTCATCTGTCTATTCAACATTTTTGAACTCACTCCCCAAAAATTATTTTTGAGGTAGGGTGGCTTTTTACCCCAAGTTACCCTACAATTGAAGCATGTTACATTTAGCCACACTCTTCACTTACGAATTGCTGAGCAGTAACGCACTTAACCATGCTGCTGCTAAAAATGTAGAGTTTAAAATGGTGCAGTTCGTGCATATTTTGGAGTTGAGAAATAAATACAGTAGGAATGGAAAGCTGGGATCTCCCTCTTTTTAACAAAGACCATTAAAACTGCTGTTTTCCCCGCAATTGCAAGAATTGTTGTGCATTGACTGCTTGTCAGAATGCATGTTTCCCTCCCTATGGCACGAGTAACTTGAATACGCCTCGAGAGGAATATTTATCTCGCATAGAACACACAACAACAAGCCGACTCGGTAAATAGATCAACTATTCTACTATGGGGTTTTCAGAGTTATCTATCCATTACTTGTTTTGTTTGCAGAGGAAAAGTAAATGTGGACTGTTCTAGCATATTCAAAGTGCGCCTCGCCAGAAATATTTTTTCATGTTCCATATTTTTGGGGAGTGGTGCCAATGATTTTGCCATGGCGCAGCGCCACAGCTAAATGACTGCAGCGGAAACACTGCAGCTTAGCGTTTAAAGGGTTAAAAGTAATTGAGATGAAAAATGCACAGCAATGTTGACCACTGAGCAGAACACCTTATAAAAGCTAGTTGTTTTTCTTTTTTCACCATAGTTTTCCAGAAAAAATTCAGTCAGGCACTTTGGCAGTGGGCTGGACTACTGCCCATCCTTAGCGTAAGGACACCTGTCTCTGCCAATAAGTCGTTTCTATGGCCTTTGATTGACAGCTGTCCACTACACTCACCGGTGGCACAGTCCTCCTCGTCCGACCCGTTCTCGCAGTCCCGCTCGCCGTCGCATCGCCATGACAACGAGACACACTTGTTGGTAGAGCCGCCGCAGTCAAACTTCTCCAGAGGGCACGTCTGTTTGCCTGGAGGGGAGGGAGGACGGGAGGGAATGCAGAGAGGACTTGTTAGGCTGCATTCCATTCCAACACATTGCACCCTCCCCTGCTGCCCTCACTCACTCCACTTCGCAGACCTGAGACGACTGAGCAGGTTTAAGTAATTTGTCCACCGAGTTTCCGTTACATTGCTTATCACCATATTACCAGATTTGTGTATCAGGAGAGTAAGCAAGCCCTAATATCCCCTTGTACCTGTTAAACACAATGATGAAGCTATTTCCATGATGCTTATATCTACCAAATCCTAGGTCTAGGGTGAAGAGGCTAGGTGTCGATATGGAATTCTATCCAATCCACTCAGAACTACAGGAATGCCTAGGGTGTATGGAAGGGACGAGGGGTCTAACTAAAATTCAGCCATAGTATCTCCATGGACCTACTGTATATAAACAAAACAACATCCTACTGACACACATCCTAAAAAGAAGCACAACCACTCAGCCAATGGATTTTGTTTTCTAGGCTCAACCCTAGAGACATGACATGAACATTTAATACAGCAAATGTACAGTTGGCCGCAGTGTAAAAGAGAACCCTGGTCCCCCCCCCAGCTCACGGTCTCCTCCATGGCATGGGCGCCGTTTGATCCAGATTACTCAGTGTTTAGTATCAAGCCCTGCTGTCATTAATTATACATCCTTGCTTACATACAGCCGGCTGGATTTAAGCAGTTTTTCACAGTCGCCCCCGAATCAAATCAACGAAGAAAAAAAATCTGGTGGGAATTTGATTTGGTCTTGTTTTGGAGTGTGTTAGATGTTAATAGTGTCGCCACCTTTAATTAGCTTGTCGTAGTCGAGCTGAGGGCTGGTTTAGCAAGGTCTTCGGGTTTTCAAAGGCAAAATAAGCATTGGAGATGATTAACAGTATGATGGTATACATGTACTATACATAATTGAAACGTTATCATGTATTTTAATATATTCAAATAAAATCCTTTCTTTCATGGTGGTAAAAAGCTACCAGGAGAAGCATCTAGGGGCTGTTCAATTCTAGCTATTTTGAAGAAAAATCCAAAAGAGGATTTGTTCAGTGATATGAGGCACTCTTTTGGTGTAGGCATCCGTCACAATAAATCTACAGATGGTGTTTAAATCAGACTTCTAACAAATCTACCGCACAGCCAACAAAGTAACTACGGTGCTGTAAGATTAGACTAAACTGAAGAAAAAAAAAACTCACAGTGCACTTAGATTAGATGCCAATTTCAGTAAGCAATGTTCTAAGCGTTTGGTCAAAGCAGCTGAGCATAAATCAGACGTATAAGTTTTAACCACTATGCCAGATGATCAATGCTGTGTAGACATCGTGGATGATGGTGCTCAGTCATCTCTCTCTAAACCACAGACCATGGTCCTGTTTGATTCCCTCCCTCCCTCCCTCCCTCCCTCCCTCCCTCCCTCCCTCCCTCCCTCCCTTCCTTCCTTCAAGTAATCACTGATTGGATCTGTGAAAGTTATGCACCGGAAGCCCTGATCTATGCTTTTCCTTTGAAATCAAAATCTGTTCAAAACCAGTCATCAGGAAGGAAAGGCCGCCATTTTGCAAACCCTAACAGGGCCCATCACCAAGTCACATTCACTTAAGAGGCAGTGTGTGTTGGTGTGCCTCTGGCCTGAACGTGTGAAGGTCGCTAGGTGGTGAGAGAAGCAGCTGGTGCCCAGGGGAGGCAGGTTCAGTGGTGGGGCCTGACGTATCCGCCAACTGCCCTCTGGAGAAATGCTGACCCGGGCCCTGGGTGTTGTAGCTGCAAAACAAGGTAGCCTAAGTACTCAGAGAGCACAGTATGGCACTGATATATTTACTAATACAATAAAGAGGTGAGGGGGGGGGGGGGGGGATACAGAGAGGAGGGTGATTGACAGGGAGAAGGAGAGTAAGGGAGATGTAAAAAAAATAATAAAAAAAAGTGCTTTCTCAAAACAACAAAATGAGGAAATAAGAGAGCGAGCAAGACAAAAGGGAAATTAGATGAGTGGATTTGTGTGGAGAAAGGGTGATACAGAGCAAGAGCAATAGAGAAATGAATAATAATAATAATAATAATAATAATAATAATAATAATATGCCATTTAGCAGACGCTTTTATCCAAAGCGACTTACAGTCATGCGTGCATACATTTTCGTGTATGTGTGGTCCCGGTGATCGAACCCACTACCTTGGCGTTACAAGCGCCGTGCTCTACCAGCTGAGCTACAGAGGACCACAGTCCTAAGGTCCTAAGAGTGCAGCATGACACAGAGATTTACCGATTCCAAAATGAGAACCGCCCAATAGCAAGAAGAGAAAGACAAAGGGAAAGAGAGATGAGGAAGGAGTGGGTGACACATGGGGAGAGAGAAAGAGACAGAAGAGGTTGAGATACAGACACGCACGACCTTTTCAATTCTTATCCTCGAGCAAAATCAAAGCCCTCCATACTGAGTGGCAGAGTGGAGAATAATGAAGGGAGAAGGGAAGGAGGGAGGGGTGGAAGGTGGATGAAGGCCTTGTGTTGAATCAGAAAAGCAAGATACGGTGCCAAGCAAGAGAGCGGGAGAGAGTGAGAGGGAGTGAGAGTGACAGAGAGAGAAAGAGAGAGTGGATGGAGCTGTCCTATCCTCTAACCGATCGCCCTTTGATGAACTACATACTTAATCCCCCTTCGTCGCAAACAAGGGAATCAAATACAAACTGAGTGCCAATGTGGCTCACGACGCTCAAACAACAAGGTAGTGATTGATTAGATTATGCTAACCCCCGGTGACTTCCACAAGTTGGCGCTAATGTGTTTTGTTGGAGAAGGGGGCCATATAGGCCTGGTAAACAACAATTACTCAGAGGCAGAGGGACATTTGTGTCTCAGTTGTTTACCGCTGGAGTGACAAACGAGGTCTCAACATTATGACATGGGAGCTGATAAGGAAAATCTGTAGTAAAGGAGTTGGCTCATTGAATTTCATTTGAAGTTCATTGAAGATTCTATGATGTGGGGGAAGTGTGGCTTTTGTTTTCATTTGTATGTCCTCATTTGTAGGTAAAGTATGGTGTGTACTTCGAAGCAGTCCATTTTGACCCATAGGTATCTCCTTTCACTGTTTTATGTGGTACATTGATACAGCACCCGTGACTGATGTGATTGGGCAGTTTCCTCTAACTGGAACAAAATGTATAATTCACAGTCATATTTCTATTGATATTATATGTACCCTGCTGAAAAAAATGCTGGTGACCAGCCTTCGCTGTGTTTTTGCTGGTGACCAGCAACACCAACATAAACTGGTCACCATTGATTTTGTTAGTCACTCTCACTCAGACTTCATATTAACATGGCATAAGGCAGGGCAAAATGTGTAGAATTGTAAGAAATTAGCTGTAAAACATTAAATTTTTTGACCCATGGCAAAATGTGTAGAATTGCAGGAAATGAAACAAATCTGGGGCACATCTTTCATTTTAGAAGTAGGGGGGACATAACTTGGCGGGGTCTGGGGGTCCTCCCATTTTGGGGGGCATCTAAAGCACATATCCTGCATTTCTACACAATCTAATATGACCCATGGCCCTTCTAGCAGTCTCTATTTAGAGCAACATAAAGTAAGCAAAAATGCCCACAGTGTCACACCCTGGCTCTGGGGACTCTTTAATGTTGAGCCAGGGTGTTAGTTTCTATGTTTAGTTTTCTAGGTTTATGTTCTAGATCGTGCGGATCTATGTTGGCCAGGGTGGTTCCCAATCAGAGGCAGCTGATTCTCGTTGTCTCTGATTGGGAACCATACTTAGGCAGCCTGTTTGGCACAGTTAATTGTGGGATCTTGATCTGTATAGGTTTGTGGTGTTTAACCTTTAGACTTCACGTATCGTTTTGTTGTTATTGTTAAAGTACTCATTAAAAGATGTACGTCTATCACGCTGCGCCTTGGTCCGGTTCTTACAACGATCGTGACACACAGTCATCAAGCTAGGTAATAGATTATTAAATATGTTTAACTGATTAATAAGACTGAACTAGATCAATGATAATTCAATAAGCAATATTGTGTTGCAACTTTAACCAATAGCCTAACAAATTAACAACTCTTACAAATAAAGACTTAACTTTTGATTGTCTTTATTAAAGACATCCTCTATATCAAATTTCAGCCAGCCTGCCCAACCAGCCCGAGCCACCTGCACGCCCGGACCGAGCAGCCCAGCAGCTAGGGATTGCCTAAATAGGTATCTCCCCTGACGTGGGCATGTTTTCAATACAGACTCCTTTTGTCGAACAGTATTCCATATAAGGCATCCAGACCTTATGAAAGTTGCACAGTATAAACACTAGCACACGCACTCTACACACACGTACATTGTAATATTGTTGTTTGGTGGTATTATACATTTTGTATTGTAGAGATGTAGTGGTGTAATAATGTTATATGATGTGCTGTTTTATCTTTTGTTTTATGTGTAATGTAAGTGCCTTAATGTGTTTGGACCCCAGGAAGAGTAGCTGAAGGGGATCCCTAATAAATACATATATCTTGTAATAAAACAAATGTAGTGAGCTTAGTGGGTAAGAGCGTTGTGCCAGTAACCGAAAGGTCGCTGGTTCTAATCCCTGAGCCGACTAGGTGAACAAATCTGTCGATGTGCCCTTGAGCAAGGCACTTAACCCTAATTGCTCCTGTAAGTCGCTCTGGATAAGAGCGTCTGCTAAATGATAAAAAAATTAAAAATAAAATAAATAGTGATACTGTACATAACTTGAAATTTCTTCCATCCACTGTGGGAGGATAACCAACCTTCCAATTAATGGCAATGCATTTCTTAGCCGCTATAAATGCTAGGTTACACAGTTTCTTCTGATAAGTCTCCAATATCAACATTTCCAAGCAAACAAAAACAGGGAAAGGGAGAATCTGTAGACATGCTGAGATAAAAGGACATATTCTTTGCCAGAATTCATCTATCCTTCACAAGACCCTAACATATGCAAATATTTCCCCTTTTGTGCCTTACACCTCCAGCAGAATAATAACATTTCTGAGTGCATGATATTCAGTTTCACTGGCATATAGTACGTTCTATGGATGGCCTTAAACTGCAGTAATTTATGTCTGAGATTATATGAACATGACTTGGCATTCTAACATATCTGTATCCATTCATCATCATCAATAGTCTCCCAGGTCTTCCTCACATTTTTGTTTTACATGTTTTGTGTCATCTGGAAAAGCCTCTATCAACCCTTGATACAGTTTGGAAATCAACTTTAGAGGTTTGTCTGACTGCCTTAAAATAGTTCCAATCTTTGAAGCTTCTTGCTTGTCCAGTGTTTGCTGCACAGAAATAATAAAGTGTTGTATCGGCAAAAGTTCACCTCTGCACTGTCACAGACTGGTCTTCCCTGGCTGCCTGACCCTGATGAGGCCCCTGTCACCATCCGATCCTGCTCAGATGAGGCATGACAAAGAATTACCTTGGTGTACATTTATACATTATATTACCCATGAATAGAATCAATAGTTCAATCATTTAAATGACCATTATTCCCAGATCCCAGACTGTAGCCTACCCATCAACTCAAGATGGAACTTTGTATCCATTCACTGGTTGTTATAATATACTGCAAAATTCACCTGAGCTCCATAGACTGGTCTTCCCTGGCTGTCTGACCCTGCTGGGACACCTGTCACCATCTGATCCTGCTAAGACACGATGAGCATCGTTTGACAGTGAAGCCTGTAGAGCTGTTTATACCATGTCAGTGTGAAAAGTAGGGGGGAAAAAGCTAGGGAAACTGACAGACCAATAACATTACATTACTATACTGACTAATAACAACTTCAGAATATTGATCTTCAATCGTTTGCCAGCTGGTTCCATCATTTGATTCAGGTCTACATTTTACATTTACATTTTAGTCATTTAGCAGACGCTCTTATCCAGAGCGACTTACAGGTAGCTTAGTGGTTAAGAGCGTTGTGCCAGTAACTGAAAGGACACTGGTTCTAATCCCCGAGCCGACTAGGTGAAAAATCTGTCGATGTGCCCTTGAGCAAGGCACTTAACCCTAATTGCTCCTGTAAGTCGCTCTGGATAAGAGCGTATGACAAAAAAAAAAAAAAGTGCATACAGTCTAGTGTGATTGAGCAAAAATAATAGCTAAAGTTAGTGAGCTAGCTAGCTAGCTAGCTCACTAACGTTAGCCAACTTTTGGCTAGCTCTAGCTAGGTACATCATCAAATGTACTTATTTTGAAATGGGACAAAACAAAGTCTACATTTCCATACACACAACAGCTGCTAGATACTGTTACCTGACAGATAGCTAAAGGCTAGCTATAATATATAATATAATATAATATGCCATTTAGCAGACGCTTTGTGCTAGAGCTGAACTGGCTGTGGTAGCTACTAGCTAGCTAACTAGCTGCTAGTAGTTCGTTCACTTCAGTCAAGAGGGGATGAAACATTAGCTAAAGTAACATGTTACTACTAGTGCACCATTGGGTAAATACAAACTTATTTTTCTGTCAAACAGCAGTTACCTTGTCAGCTAGATCAGTCAACTAAAGAGTAGCCCGTTTCTGCTCTGCTTGCTTTTACAACTCTGAGAAAAAGCACAACACAGACAGCAGCTGCCTCTGTTCATCTCTCCCGTGCTGGTCCCATACGCCAGCCTTTCAGGAGCTTTTCCTTCACACAGCCTGTCAGCATGATCTGTGGTGTCCGTGTGGTCCTAAATCCACCCAGCTGAAACCGGAAAACAACCTTCCAGACC